ATGGTACGAATTGGATCCTGATTTTGTGACATTAGCACTAGTATCTTCTTCTACCCCTTCCAGTTTCGGAGACTTCTCTATCTTTTTAGATGGATGAGAACTTTTGGTGGGCATGTCAGTAGCAAGCCATTGGAACGTCACTGAAGACACTTCCAATGAAGCTCTATTGTGTCCATTATCAGTAGTAGAAGATTCTCCCTTTATATTTTGTCGACCATTCCTTAGGAGCCAAGAGGTTACAACACGCTTGGCTCCGACAGAAATCAGTAAGCAAGGGCTTTCAGTATCATCAGCTGCAGAGTCTTGTACGCGCACTTCTGGTAAGTTAGGCACGTCAGAAACAATCATGTGCATGTTTGATACGCAGCAAACTGATCTCACAGCTGAGCCTCCAACATGTTCTCCTAATAGCTCTGATGTTGACCAACTTCCAAACTCAGATGCATACCTAGATGAACCCAAAGTACTTTTTAGACAAATATAGATAGAAATATTTATAAATGGCCATCAAGTATCAATTAATGAACGTTAACAAGACTAGTACCTACCTACTCAATCTCACAGATCCATCTTCACACCCTGTTGCAATCCAACTAGACGTATCAGATTTATAACGTTCTTCAGATTCAAAACCAGCTTTTGCATCCGTAGTGATGAAGCATAAGGAATGTAATTCTCTTCCATGAAATTGTGTATGCAAATTTAGAGGAAAGACTTTGGTCTTCTGTCCATCAACCCAGTGTCTATGAATATGAATGACATCATCCTACGAAAGAGAAAGGTTGAAGATCAGTCAAAGACCAAATATGTATACAACTTTTATCGAGAGACAGAGGATGCACCTTCACATATGCAAAACAGTTTTGCATCTCAGGGATGTCCCCGAGGTAAAAGGAGTGGGGACGGCGCCATCCACCACATGAGATCTGTGCAACCTGTTGTCATAAGAAGTTCAGTATACTATTACAGCTCGCATTGAAAAGGGTCAATCAAATGAGAAGGCAGGGATGGACCTTTGTTTCAGATGTTAAGTTCCAGAACATAAAATCCGTTGATGCAAATCCTGCTGCATATTCATTGTTTGTATGGTCTTTGGAAAAGTGCATGCCTTGGCAAACAGATTGAACTAAGCTCAACTCTTTCAACTGTTTCAAACCCATGAACTCTAAAGTCTGCCTCTCTCTGTCATATTCGAAATAGCATATGCAACCATCTCCTCCAGTCTGAACATGCGATTCAGAGAAAAAAAAGGAAAGATCAACAAAATAAGATCATTGTCCACCAAACAACCACCAAGAGTAGAAGATCACAAACGTAAGTAAATTATCATACCGAGCATATTTCAGCTTTGTTGGAAGTTAATCTGGCAACTGAAAGACTGGAAACAGTTGAAATCCCATGGGCAGCTTTGAAGTAATTAAGTGAAGGTATCTTCAGTTTTGGAGAAACAGAAGCCCCGCTCAGCATATCCTTTGACAGGGGAAAGAGTATAATATTGCCACGTAAATCTCCACACACAAGCACCTGCAAGCAACGATCATTCCAATACAAATTACAAACTTCAGAAGGCTAAGACACGACACAACTCGTGGATAGAAACTTTTTAGAGTTACTATCTAAAAAAAATTATATCCGAGTTGTGATATTAGCTCTCCATTTAGTTGACCTAGTATAGAGAGCCCAATATAACACAGTAACATGGCAAAAATTGAAACGGATATTACCTCATCTTCAGGTAATACATCTACACACATTATTCGCATTCCAAAACAAGAGGAGAATTCAGCTAAGAGGGAAATATCATAAATTTCAGAAGCAGCAGAAGCTAACGGATCAGATAGTCTCCACAGCTTCAATAGTCCTCTAGGATTGCAAGTACAAATAAACCTGGAAGGCAGAGACTTAAAATTGTAATCTCACAATATTTATCACCAAATGATTCAACACATTCAGGCCCGATATCCATTCAATTAATGAGGTATTTACCTATATCCTAATGATTTGCACCAGAAGGTTCCCAGAAGTTGTCTCTCTGGGCTAGCCTTCCAACTTTGATTTGATCCCACAAGTGGGTTATACATATCACCAATAACCCGAACAATGGTCATATTCCCTTTGCCATCTCCAAGAGCAACCCAATCATCTAATACACAAGACTCACGTACCATTGCTCCAGGCATGACATCCATGGTAATAATAGGCCCCTCTTCAGGTATGCGAACTAATTCGGTCCACCTTACATCTCCAGATGACAATAATCTTGCATGGTATAAGCAACCATTGTTTGTGGCCACATACATGGTATCTTCCTGCGTGAACTGCAAGCAGCGTACATACTCACTCTTGCTGCAAGGAGAAAACAAAATCATATTTACAATTATACACAAGAAACCCAGACATTTATTTAAACCACTGTCTTCCTTTAATAAAGAAACTACATTTACAGGAACAAAATCCAAATTAACATATTTACTTAACCTCCTTGACTTTTGTATCAGTACTTTGGAATTACTGCTATTCATGTTCAAAATCGCCGACTTATGTATTCATTTGGCATACCGTACCCAAATACTAATTCTGTAGACTCTAAAATCTTGTGAAGGCACATGTACTACCTGTCCATGAGACCAGTATGCTGCGTTGAATTTGGGAGGCGGGCTGAAAAAGATTCCACTTTGTCTTGTGAATCAAGCACTCCTACAGTATCCAACAAGATTTCAGACCCACAATTATGCAATTGATGTACTTTGATTGCAGAGTCAAATCCAGCAGTAACAAGAAGGGATGAGTTCGGATCATACAGACATCTCCATATGCCTCTTCCACTGTATAGTAAACAATGGCTCTTCATCAGTAATAACATAAAAGCACGATGTGAATAGTGTGATCGACCAAACACACCAAGTCACCACTTACATATGTTCCTTTATCACTTCCAGCTGCGTACCATCCACGCCCCATACACGGCATGTACAGTCCTCACCAGCAGTGACTATCAACTGAAACAGAAAAACATCCAAATGCAATAATCCATAAGTTATAAATTTTAATGTGCTCATCAATTGTATATAATCAATAAGCATTACACATTTCTACCTACAAAGGTCATGTTTAAAAATTAGAACAGTGACAGTTCCTCTATTCATTAGAATCACTCTTAGCATAATACTCAAACGAAGGAAGAAAATTCAAACAAAACTATATATATAATAAGGCAAAGAAACTCGAGGTACATACAGAATCTGAGATGCAGCAGTCCCAAACCCTAACGCTGTGACCAAAGAGCACAGGGCCAACGACCTCCTGCGAGTCAATTTCCCATATCCTAGCACTACAAATCCAAAAGATTATACCGTTAGATACATCAACAAAAAGGAGCCAGGGAAAGGTGAAGTGTTTAAGCTTAAACACAAAACAAATGTTCACCTACGATCATCAGAGACGGACACTAGTTTAGATCCATCCAAAGACCAAACAATGCGAAATATTGAACCCTCATGTCCAGTAAGCCTAAGCATATGGGAAGCAGAATATTGCCCATGCTCGAAGTTGTCACCATCAGGGCCAGATGTCCTCCAAACAATGATCTGCCAACAACCAGTTACTTAAGCTATCTTAGGCACCAAAACAGAATCAAGAAATGGAAAATGATTTGAGTTGAAGAATGAAAAAGAAAAGAAAACGATAGCCTACCTCATTGAATATAGTGCCAGAAGCGATGCGGAGCGTCGAAATACTGTTGCCCCATAATCGCATTGTATAAAGTAGACACCTTTCTGCCAAAAATACAAGCACTTCAGTATAAAATAGCTCTAACTTGAGTCTTCAAGACCCACCCTTGAACCCAAGTACAGTAAATCGAACCTGGTGACTGAATTTCAAAAGCCATACGAGAGTCTTCAACATCCCAAATGCAGAGAGAGTTATCACTACATCCAATAGCTAGAAGCTTGTGTTCGTCTTCCAATGAGCCAGACTCAGTAGAGTCCTATCACAATGAGCAAACCCAGCATCAGGAATAAGGAACATTATGGAATCAAGCAGACAAACACAGAAACTGAGAGTTTTCAACCTGCAGGAAACAAACGTCGAAAACCCAATTGCTAAGCCTCGGCAAAGAATCAAGTATTTCCAAATTCACGGAGATTTCACCAGGGCTCGAGGCTGATTCAACAATCAACGAAAAGATCTTCACTCTCTTCTCTCCGAATATAACAAGCTTATACGTGTATCGCTCTTCCGAACAAACAAAGCTTCTGCTACAAACAGTTCCATGGACGCGAACTCCCTCAAACACTTGAAACGAGCGAATCAACTCCCCGGAACTCAAATCGTAAAGCAGAATCTCCGAACCGGAACCTAATTAAAAAAAATAATGAAACCCTAATCACATAAAGAAAAACTCTTCATAATTGAAAAATCAATACAATCGACATTCAAATTTGAAAAAAAAAAGAAAAGAAAAAACTTTTCACTGGAGAGCCCACCAGCGAGAAGATAAGGAATGGAAGAAATATGTTGAGGAAGATTGAGAAAAGCTAAAGAAGAGACTTCTCCGAGATATGGACCGGCACGAGGATTCCACTTGCGGCGGCTGTCATCTTCCGCCATGGCTTTGCTTCACCAGTGCGGCTCCGACTTGAGTTCAAAGTTTAGAGGTAACAGAAATTTTCACTAGTCAAACTTTCCAAATAAGTCAACCAAACATTCGGACTAATAATAACCAAACTTAGGCTAGGAACAGTTCGGAGAGAGGGCCCAATGGGCTTTATATACAAGAAAATAAAAAATAAGTGGGTTTAAAATATAATAGTTTAATGCGGTGAGCGTGGATCGAACACGCGACCTTCAGATCTTCAGTCTGACGCTCTCCCAACTGAGCTATCCCCGCTTTTTGATTGCAGTCAGAGCCATATACTAATATTTAATTAAAAAATCATTTATTTGTATTTTATTCGAAAACAAGGTTACAAATATCTCTCTAGTGGATGATGACACTTTCATATTTTTTCAGATATATCGCAAGAAATCCACAACGGCTCCTCAAACTGACCTTCAAGCTTGTCTCCATCTTGACCGTTCAAACTCAAACGACTTAGATCCAGATCATCCACAGTATGCCACGTGGGAGTTCCATCTTCATACCCATTCCACGTCAGCCTCCTCAACCCCGTTCCGTCCAATTTCACAACGTACAAATCCCCATACGGCTGAAACTGATTCGGTATCGCCACCGGCTCCGCCGTAATTCCACCGAAGTTCGCCGTGAGTACTAGCCAGTCACCATCCTTGTTGAAACTCACGTGATTAACCCTCTCCCTCGCCGCTTCCTCCGATCCTTCCGGTCCCGCAACTTGGATCCTCCTCAAGCCAGAACCGTCAGGCCTCACCACATAAGCGCCAAACGTTTCGGTGTTCGCTGGATTGTGCCGATTAGATGAGAACCCGATGAGATCCCCTTTCGGAGACCAGCAAGGCATAGTGTCGATCCATGGTCCCTTCGTCAACCGTCGAATTCCGTCTCCGCCGTCAGATTCTCCGTTAACAGCATCTATGATGTAGAGGTTCTTATGACCCGATCGGCCGGATCGAAACACGACGGATTTACCGTCGGGGGAGCAAGACGGGAAGGCGTTATTCCCGGTGTTCTCTAGAGTGAGAAACTTCACTTCACATGGAAGCTCTTCTTTATCGGCGGTGAGATCCGACGGATCGAACTTGATTCGAGCAATCTGAACCGCGATTCCCGGCGGACGGAAGATCGGACCGAGAGATGCGTAGATGACATGACGCTCCGTGGGACTCCACGAATTGCAGAAAGCTGTACGGTCCTTGATCAACGTCCATCGTTTCGAACCGTCAGATTTGGCGACTTTGATACCACCGTTAACGTCGAAATCGGAGTTCAATGCGATCAGATCACCGTCAGGAGATGATGACGGAAATGATCCGTTTAGTCTGAGCAAGCGGAGGGTTTTGATTGGTGAGGCGATCGATTCTAGGTTCGGAATTTTTGACTCGCCCTGAGTCGACTCGCCTCTGAACCGGTGGTAGCCGAGGAACTCGGAATCGGCAGACACGAAGGGGCTGTAATGGTGGAAACTCGGGTTGAGTGGCTCACTCACCGGTTTAAAAGTTTTGTGTTCAATGTCGAAAATCTCGATGTGACGATAGTTGACGCCGCGACGACGGGTTGCGACGGCGATTCGTTTCCCGTCGTGGAAAGCGGCAGGAGTGAAGCAGTGGAGTCCAGGAGGAGTGACTCGGATCGGTTCGATGGGAAAACCGGAATATTCCTTGAAATTCTCCGGTACATCCACCCGGAAAATGCTCCACCAACCGTCCTCTGCTTGGTGGTGAAAGAAAACGGTTGAGTCGCCGGACCAAGTCGGCCATCCGCCTCGCTCGCAAATCACCACTCTCGTCTCCGGCTCAGATGCTCTGAAAACAACAATATCAGTGTTGATCTCATTAAATTCACCGCCCCAAAGACGAGACCCATAGGACGCGACGGCCAAAAACTCTCCCGACTGAGAAGCCGCCGGGCTAAAATCGGCGGTGTCTGGCGGAGTGACACGTGTAACTTGACTCTCTTCGCCGTCGAGCTTCACGGCGTAGAGGGCAGACCAATTCTTGAAATGACGATCAGGCTGCTCGTGAGAGGAGATGAAATAAAGTATATTGTTTTGAGTAACTAACGGACGGTCGTGGAATAAGCTCTCCGGAGCTCCGGGAAGCTCCTCAGGCTTTGAATCTCCGGGTCGGGTTCTAAAAATCCGGGCAGAACCGGCACGTTCCGAAACGAAGACGACATCGCCGTTGCCATTGGCGAATTGAGCGTTGAAGTTAACGGAGACGCCGTCTGTTAAACAACGTTCGACGGAGGAAGCTATGTGGAGAGAGAAAACGTCGAAGCCGTAGTTAGTACGACCAATGGTGGTGAAGATGATGGTGCCACTCGGAGTTTCCATTGCCGGAGATGATTTGATGAGTCGGTGTGGTGATTAACTGGTAATCGATTGGAGTATTTATAGAGGGTTGATGACGTGGCGAAAGGGTTTGTCCATATCAGCTACTATTTGGCTGTGTGTGAACGGAACAAAATGGTTCCATGACGTGCGTGCGTGCGTGATGACGCTGCGGTCTCTTCATAGGATCTTTATCCTTAAAATTCGTGGAAAATTGAGGCAGAAGAGCTTCGTGTACTATGTAATTGTAAGAGAGAAGTGAGCAAATTGGTTTTGAATTCTCTAGTTTGACAGAGATAATTGGATTGGATTGGTACGAAACATTTGTCTTTACAGCAATCAATGGTTAACATGTATTCTAATCTAATCTTCATCATTTGTCTTTACCGCTTAATTACTCTCAATTATTTTCCTCTCCACAAGTCACAATTTACATCATTTCACGGATTACTACTAATTACAATCAAATTTATTTTGGTTTAGAATTTTAGTAATCCCACCATCTATTTCGTATGTTTCTATTTCACATTTTGTTCCTATATGAACTGATCATTTTCTTTTAAGATTCCGTTTAGATAACAACGGGCACATCAAGTTGTAACTTGTAAGAATTTTATAAAAATAAATATATCATGATAAGTTTGTGAATCAAAATTGATGACTTGCACCAGAATTATCTACTAGTATTCTTCACCAACAAACAATACAACATCAAGCAAACGACGGAGAGGGTTTTCCGGCGACCAGTAAAGTATTTTCCGGCGAGATGCTTGCCGGGATATATTTCACTAGCTTCGAAACTAAACCATGTTTCTTAACCCACTTCATCCTCCCCGCATCAATGATCTGTTTGCACTTAAACCCTAAAACAGCTCTCTCCATGGGTTTCATTTTCTTCACAACTTCCTCCACGCTGCTCAAAGAATCATCTCCCACTTCTTCTCCTTCTTCTTCCTCCTTTGCACTGTCAATGACATCAAAATAAACAATAAAAAAATCAGAATGAAATTAACTTATTTTGAAGGAACTTCTTCATCATCTTTTGAATCCAAAGATATTTTTTTTACTTTGAGGCAAGAAGGTCAATGTCGTCAACATCAGGAATTTTGGAACCATGATCATCATCTACAGCCCAGCTAGTGAACCAAGTCATGGCATGGAACTCGTCTTTGGAAATCCCCAGGCTAATGATATATTCTTTATCTGCGAAACAAAACGTGACAGTGACACAGTTCTTGATTAATGGAGAATTCTACAATACTCTTGATAGGACCAAAGAAGAAGCAGTGACTGTGAGAGTTTTACTTGTGTAGCTTTTCCATTGGCAAAGATGATGGCAACAAGTCGCAATAGCTAGACCTCTCAGAACCGGGCTTTCACCATCTTGTCTGGATAAACAACATCTTAGGCTCAAATCTAAAATTATTGACACATAAAAAATGAACATCAATTACCAAAAACAGATACTTCTAATGAATTTAAATCATAAAGCATTAGACAACATGTAGTAACCTGTTGCAGGACCACAGAGATGTTTCCCAACAGCAACATAAGGAACACCATGTAAAGATTCAACCGCGTTAAGGTTAAAATCTTCAACTGAAACACACCAAAAAAGGTATTAAATTTTTCAATCATTAATAACAAAAACCCTGAACAAGTAAACAAGGAACCTTACTATCGATTCTCATACGCTCTAATACCAAGTTCTCCTTTTGCCTCAGTGATCTATCAGCCTATATAAGTAGCAAAACAAGTAAAGTTTGAGAAATAAGCCAAGTCACTGAACAGAAACGGAATGAAGCAAGAAGCTTCACAAACCTTAAGCTTATAAGATTTCCTCTCAACTAAATACACTTTTTTGACCCCATAGCAATCTGCTAGCATCTGTGTTAAGTATCCTCTCCCAGCTCCAAATTCAACAACCGCAGACGCATGATCATCTCTATTATCCAGATCGGTTTCACAACGTTCCACATTCCTGTCGCACCTCTTCAACGCACCAATCTTTTCCAAGTTACCAAGAATCGAACCTTGCTGCAACACATGTTTCTCTTGAAACGGTATCTTCCTGCCCAAACAATCAGAAACCACCATCAGTATTTTAAAAAAGGAAACATCTCCATCTCCTCTCACTAACCAAACCCTCAAGAGCAAAAGATCCAAACTTTTTAAAACCAGTTACCTATCTATCTCCTTATTAAACCATATGTTACAAGCTTCAGGTGACAGATACGAATCTTCGATGTCTTTACAAATACAGTCATGAACCGCCTCAATTCTGTTAATTAGCTGATGAAACTTAGAAACGCTCATACTATAGACCAGAGTCCTCTTCATCTCTGAAGTAACAACAGAATCTGGACAACAAGGGCCCATCTCTTCTTCTTCGTTTCCTGCATTAATACCCTTCTGGTAAAATCGTTGACCAGACAATGCTACGGTTTGTTTTAACAAAGGGCATCTCTTGACATGCCCTTCGAGATTCTCCTGCAACACAGAGCTAAAAAAAAAAATTACGAATCAAACCGTTGATACAAGAGCAGAGAATCGCAAACTAAAAACCGTGGAAATAAAAAAAACGAAATCTTTGACTCACTGAGAAGGATCAATAGGACATGGAACCCACTCACCATCCAATCTCTGGCTATGGTTTCCGCAAAACCTGTTTGATTTGATTACTTACAAAAATTTAGCTCCTGAGTAATTTGAAGAAAAAAGAAAAAAAAAATCGAAACTTTTCACTTCCAAGTCAACAAAACTTACAACGAACTCTCGATTCGATTATTGGCGCATGATCTTTTCTTTTTCGGAAGCCAGAAACTACATCGACTGCCACTTTTCGCCGTCATTCTCACCGAGTTTGCTCAGCCAGAGCGAGAGAGAGATAGAAAGGAGACGAGGTCTTCACGGGCTTCGTTTTGGGCCTATTAAGTTTTCCCACGGCCCATTTAGTTTTTAAAATCGTCTAATTGATTAATCGAACAATCAGCAACCTCGTGAAGCCAGAGGAGAGAACACGTGACAATGACATGACCAAAAACAAGAAGAAGCAACCTTCTTCTCCTCCTTTCATACTCTTTTAACGCAGCGCTCGTTTCCATTTCTTTCGCCGGTAAAACTGAAACCACACAGAAAACACGACGAGGAAGAGGAGGAAGAAGAAGATGTCTGCGACGGCGATTGTTTCTCTTCCGAACCCCAACAATGCCGTCTCCATCGAATCCGGTAATCGGAAATTCCGGTGCCGGAACGCTGTAGCTAAACCCAGCTCGAGATTCTCACCTCCTCCTACATCTTCTTCTTCTTCGTCGCTGATGAAGCCTTCGCCTCTTGCTTCTAGCTTCTCCCCTTTGATTTCCCCAAATAGATCCTTAAACTCTCCAGTCTTCAGAAGATTCGACACTCTCATGGAGTGGCAAGAATGCAAGTAAGCGATTCAAATTCTGACTCTCTCTCTGACTTTAGGGTTTTGTTGCCTGTTTGAGTAATTGTAGATTTAGTTTGGCTAGATTTACAAAATTGGGTTTTTTCCTTTTTAAGTCAAAGAATGTTCTATAAATGTGTTGTGGAGAATTTCAGAGTGAAGATGAAGGTCGAAGTGCCTGTATCAGTTGCTTATGGACTCTACTCCGATCGAGAATCGATTCCGAGATGGATGATATTCATTTCATCCGTGAAGGTAATGGTTTTGTTTTCTTCATATGGCTTTTGAGTTTCTCTGTTTGAAAACATGGAAACGCCATGGATCTGCAGGTGCTGAAGGAGAAACCGGATTTATCTCGATGGACCTTGAAGTATAAAGCATTTGGTCAGAATCTTGAGTACTCTTGGCTCGCTAAGAACTTGCAGGCAAGTATCACATCAAAGTGTTGTGAAAGTAGAGAGCTTTATAAACTGTTTTGTGACCTTTCAATGGTTTTTTTTTTTTTTTGTGTGTGTGCTTTGATTCTTGTTTGCTGCAGCCTCTCCCGAACCAGAAAATACATTGGATTTCTCTAGAAGGCCTTCCTAACAAGTAAACAGGATTTGAAAAATGAATCAATATGACTTCATCTCTTAAAAATCAAAGCTTTATGTGAAAGTCTTGCTTTTTTTTACAGGGGAACTGTTCGATTTTTCCCACTAGGACCTTCATCGTGTGATGTAGAAGTGAGATTCCATTTGTTGATATGATTCATTTTCTCTCGACCACAGTTAGGTTTTGTCTTTTCTGAGTTCTTCCTTGCTTTATGTGCAGCTAACCTTTGCATACGAAGTTCCTCTGCTACTTATACCATTTGCAGCAGTAAGCATTCTTTATTCATTCAACCTGTAAACTGTATCATATCTTCTGGTAACAAACATTTGAACCCTTACATGTAACAATTCGTCTTTTGATTTCTTCAGGCGCTTCAACCGCTAATGCAAGGATTGATCAAGAGTAGTCTGGAGCAATTTGCAGAGATAGCAAAAAGCACAAAGACGGCTTAGTTAGCACAACACAACACAAGAGCAAAACTTATTCACAAACCACACAATACACATATCATACCATTCTTCTTACATGAATTTGCACAGAGAATCATTGTTGTGAACATTACCATATTGTTGTTTTATACAGTGTTCATGTCAACAAAGAACCATTTATTATAAAATTATAATCACAACATTTTAATCTAATTTTGGACCATAAAGACTCTGAATTTCCGATCACAGGAACGATGTAATTGTTGACCAATGAAGGACATTTAGTTGACTGTTTGGGGATTTGCTGGTGGTTGAAGGAGAAGAAGATGGCTAAGATCAAAACCAGTAATAAACCAGTAATAAACCAGAAACAAAAGTTAAACCGTAAACCAGTGCTAAACCAAATTATTCTCTCGAAATATAGTACTTGTTGACATTAGTAGTATATCATTTGCACGTGAAACAGCACCTTCACAATCTTATACTTGAAGATATGAGCACATGAAAATAATTCAACTTAGTCAAACCTTTAAGTTGCAAACGATGTTGTAATGTCTAAATAGGAGCATTATTCAACACTTATGCACTTTGAGCTGTCTTAAGATTATCAGTATCATGTTCAAATAATTAAGATTAACTTGTCTAACTAATAAATTCAAATATCAATATATGAGTGAAACCAAACATTTCTATTCTGTTTCAATATTTTTCATAGAGCAAGAATTAAGAGAAGATTCATCACATTAGAGAAAGAATCAAACGAAACACTCAATACAAAATGTTACAATTGGCTCGTGATCCGATTCTACGTTTCACTACACTGTTGATTCTCATCACCACATTCTATTACGAAACCGAAGCAAGACTACATCTTCACAACGACAAAAACAATCCCAACTCAAAACCAGAGCCACCGTCTTCGTCCATTTCTCAATCTCAGCCTCCTTCTCTCTCTCCAAACCCTAACGACCTGTCACAGTCTCCATCTCCGTCCCAAGATCCCGACCATGAAGTAGTCTTCGACGTGAGAAACTTTGGTGCAGTCGGTGATGGTATCACAGACGACACTGAATCCTTCAAGGCTGCTTGGGATTCAGCATGTAGCAACGACATCAACAACACTGTCTCCCTCTTGCTTGTGCCTTACGGTTTCACTTTCATGATCCATTCCACCATTTTCACCGGTCCTTGTCGCTCTTACCAACACTTTCAAGTATACAAATTCTTTTTTCTGTTAATATAATGTTTTTTATTCTATACATGAATATCAAACTTTAGCTGATGAACAATATTTTTATATCAATATTTTATACAAGCAAGTCTAATTTTTGATGTTATTTTTTTCAAATGATTAAGGTGGATGGGACCATCGTGCCACGGGATGGACCAGAGTCGTGGCCAAGCGGTTTCAACAAAAGACAATGGCTCGTTTTTTATAGAATCAACGGAATGGCTTTAATAGGCGTCGGAGTTATTGATGGCCGTGGACAAAATTGGTGGGATCTTCCATGCAAACCTCACCGGGTAAAAACTAGTCATTATCAAAGTATAATTATAGTTAAAACACACATATTTTCTTGCAAAAAAAAAAACACAATTATTTTAAAATGATATGAATCTAGATAACTTGTATACATGTACATATTTCAAATGTAGTCATCTTAAATGGTAAAAGTGTCCGGTTCTTTACACGTTCCGAATGTTGGTGTGAATTTCGGTTTATGATCTTTACATTATGAAATATTATTCTTTATATATATATATATATATTGGGAAAAAAACATTTCGCATTACTTTTAAACTTTATTTTTATGAAATAATTCTAATTGATGCAACTTCACCAATTTTAAAGAACAAAAGCCCGATTTAATATGGTTATACAACATACTAATCAATTTTACCATATTCATAATTATTTCACAAACTAAAAAAACCTTCAAATATCTTTATGTTCAAACAGAAAGCCAACAAAACGACTGCACTTACTGGTCCATGCGAAAGCCCTGCGGTAAGTAGCATCAAATATTTAAAACATACATTGTTCTGGACTTTATGAATATCACGTATGTTTAAATTATGTAACCAGTTTTGCGAGGACATGCTTCGAGGTTATTTATTTTATTTTATTTTGATGAAAAGGCTTTGAGGTTCTTCATGAGCTCGAATGTAACTGTGAAAGGTGTGAGTATAAAGAACAGCCCGCAAGTTCACCTCAAATTCGACGGCTGTCATGAAGTTCACGTCAACTCCCTTCGAATCACATCTCCGCCGTTAAGTCCCAACACTGATGGCATCCACATCGAGAACTCCAACTCCGTTGAGATTTACAACTCCGTTATCTCCAACGGTAAATATTAATCACTATACACGTCTTTGTACATACACACATACATACACACACAGAAATGGGAAAACTGTAAAAATAATACATCACATAATTTATAGCGATAATCCTAAAAACCTGAAAATTTTGAATGTTATATTAATCTTAAAATACTAACGATGCAAATACAAAACAACTGTGTGTTTAGACCTAATACACTACAAAATTTGGAAAGAAATTTGTTTTTTTAACAAAAATTCGATATTGACTATATGAAAGTTATTTCGAATGCATGCATGCATTTGTTAGTGAGTTTAAGACTTTCATGTTTTTAAATGAAAAATTGTATGTAATATGCATCTACAACTTCAATCATGGGGTCAAGTTCTTCAACACACTTTAAGATTTTTTTCTTTTTTGGGGCAAATACACACTTTAAGATTTTTTTTGAATTTTTTTCCTCAGGAGATGATTGTGTCTCAATAGGATCCGGATCATACAATATCGATATACGGAATCTCACGTGTGGACCAGGAGGGCATGGAATTAGGTAAGAAGTTACTCTCATGTGATGTATTAATAAAATATTTACCATTTTATGATATTCAATTTTTTTTTATTAACGTACGTAATTTGTAGCATTGGAAGTTTAGGCAACCAAAACTCACGTGCATGCGTCTCCAACGTTACAGTTAGAGACTCGGTCATAAAATTTTCCGACAATGGCGTACGGATTAAGACATGGCAAGGTGGATCCGGGTCCGTTTCCGGTGTAACATTCGACAATATCCAAGTGGAAACTGTTCGAAATCCGATAATGATCGATCAATACTACTGCACGAATACGAATTGCCCTAACAAAACATCTGCTGTTTTCGTGTATGACATAGTATATCAAAGTATAAAAGGAACATACGATGTTCGGAGTCCTCCTATGCATTTGGGATGTAGCAACAGTGTCCCGTGCATAAACTTAACACTTTCGGATATTGAATTGGTGCCTTCAAAAGACGAAATCGCTGTGGATCCCTTCTGTTGGAATGCGTATGGGATCACGGATGACTTCTCTGTTCCTTCGATCTCGTGTCTCAAATCGAATCCTTCGACTTTATTGTTAGGTGGTCTGTTAGGAAAATGTGGAGTACCATGATTGACTTTGATCGGAGAAAGTTTGATTTTTTTTTTTTTTTTTGTAGTGAGTTTAAGACTTTCATGTCTTTTAAATGAAAAAAGGTTAATGATCAAAGTTTGAAGCTTTCCAAAGCTGGCTAAAAAAATTATTTCCACTTTTCTAAACAAAATTCACATTTGGATCGTAAATTAACATTCAAAGCAAGAACAGGTTTGGCCCAAGTCCAGCTGCCAGAAATAGAGAATAGCGTACAATCTGATCCGTTGGATCAGTCTTTGTAGACAAGCCTTGCGAGTTGCAACCAAACGAAAAATGTTTTGAAATCTGACCCGAACCGGCCAGTTCGTCCGATTAAACTAGGATCCAGTCACTTATCCGGATCAGTTTTATTTTTAAAATCTAAAATTTATTAATCTGGTAAAATTTAAAAAAATTTGCGAGTAACCAGTGATCCAGTAATCTATTAACCTAGTTAAATTAGTAATTTTATTTTTTTCTATAAAAAAGTCTTTTTAATATAAATAATTTATAATTAAATTATAGGATTTTGTTATTTTGTAACCTTTGTGAGTTTTAAGATTTGTAATTTGTATTAATATTAAATTTTTCAGCCGTTTGTATTATGTTTTGAACAATTTATATTATGTTTTTCATATTTAACATTTTGAACAGTTTTTGTTATGTTTCTTTTATATTTAAATTTTTGCTGTCGGATTTCAAAATATTTGAAAACCTAGTCTACAACATCAAGTTCGATAGTGTTTCTCTAGACTAAAAATAAAAAAAATAAAAATAAATTGAAATATAGAGTATGTATGACGTCAGCGTGACTGTGTCAGGTACTAATTAAATAATATTATAATACTAAGAATAATTATTTTACTTTCTTGCCCCTGGTCACGTTTTTCACGATAAGCAAAAATTAAATAAATACTAATTTGATTTTACAAAATTGAGAACCATTAGCTTGACTGATGACCGGGCTTAATAAGTTAATATAAATAAGATTTTTTTTTATAATTAGTAATCGTTTTTACCACAACATCAAAAAATCGAAAAAGTAAATGATACCACACAAACGGTATATTCGTTTTCAATTTTTTTTTGCTCCGTTAATTTCTTTTTAATCGTTTTGTTTATGTACTGATAATCTATTATTATTCTCAATAACACAGGCATAGAGAGGTAAGAAGGGGCAGTTTAGTCTTTGAATAAGAAGTTTCATCACCTAATACTGTATTATCCTCTCACTCTCAATAAATGTTCACCTCGAAACCCTAAATCCCCAAAATGACCAAAACGAAATCTTTTTCTTCGATGATGAACAAAGAAGAAAAGACAGAGAGCAAGAGAACCAACGAGATCGATGACCCAGAAGAAGACGAAGAACTGGAGGATAAGAAGATGGACATGTTCTTCAACCTCATAAGAAACTACCAAGAGGCGAGGAAACGAAGAAGACAAGAGCTAACTGAAGATTCCGGCGACGCTGCTCCTAATCCGACGAAGAGATCGGACGGCGGAGATAAATCCGGCATTGTTCCCGTGTTTCGTGCCGACGATTTCTCTCGCTGCATAGACTTAAACATAATGCCATCGAATCCGACTGTCCCCACCGAGAATCAAGATGAGGAGAAGGAAGAAACAGAGAAGGGGAAGACAAGAGAAGAGAATGGTTTAGATCTTAATCTCGCATTGTAATAACAGGTCCTCTCTGTTTTTGTTTGGTGAATAGAAAAAAAAAAAGGAAAAGCTTTTCAATTACTCCTGTTACCAGAAGTTACAAATGCATTACACAAACACACAACTGATTATTTATATCGAGAGAAATGGATCATCATCAGCATTCAACATTCATCAAGTCAAGAAGCTGCAGGTGAAATTGCCATTGATGAATGTTAGCTTCTCAGCTTTGACGACAGAATCTAGAGGAAGAGGAAGAAAGGTTTTTTGTGGACCATAGAAGTGAGGAAAGCTATTCACATCATCCACAGCCTCGTAGATCAATCCATCCCCAAGCTGCAATTACACATGAACAAAAACAAGAACAGAACAAAAACAAAACAATGTCAATCTCTTTTGTTTCATGCGATTCCAGTGACATTCATGAGAATTTTAAGATCAATCTCCATAAAAGTTTCTTGCTTTGACTTCATACCACACCAGAAACTAACGTTTAATAGACCAAATGATCAAATGATCACATGTTTGGTTCATACCTTCCTAGGTTCGATTTGAAGAAGGTAAAGATCGTCCTTAGCATTCAAAAAAAAGTTCTGTAATGTCATTTGCACCTGGAAATTGAAAAAGCGATTTCATCAGATTTTGCTTCAAAAAGTCGACTTTTTTTTTTTCTTCACCTGCTAAAAGCAGCAAATTTGTCAATCACCGGGGAAAATTTTCGAGATTCAGCGAGCACCCAGATGGAAAAGTCGAGATATTTTCTGAGAAATCGCACCTGGTCGAGTTTGCTGAGATGAAAACAACCGGTTGACTTATCGAGCTCACCACCAAAAGAAGATCCATTCTTCTGAAACTCTTCCCACTCTCGAGCCGTGCTGATTCTGTATATGAAATCTTCCTCAGCCATCTTTTCTTTCTCACCTCACCGGAGAAACTGGATTTGCGAAAGAGATCGAAAAGCTCGCAACTTTCAACCGATGAAACAAAAAGGGATTCGATTCACAAAACCGGTATAAACCGGTTGATTTTTCCATCTCAGACCGGAATCAGCTAAACCGTACTCGTCGTCAACTTCGAAGTTTTTCCATATTTCCTCCGCTTTATTTCAATTTCGATGGTCGAAATCAGTTTGGTGAGGAGAAGGAGGAGCTGTCAAAGTCTGTAACTACACTACTCTCAGCTCTCAACAATCATGGCGGCTTCAATGGCGAAACCCATCTCGATAACTCCTCTCGGTTTCTACTCCGATCGAAAGAACATCTCTTTCTCCGATTGCATTTCGATTTCCTCTGGATTCCGACATTCCCGACCGTCTTGCATCGATTTGGTCGCGAAATCGCCGACGAACACTCGTTGTTTCCCTCTCGTTAGAGCCCAAAGCTCTTTTGGTAAGCCAGCAATTTATGGGTCTCTGAGCTTTCTTCGACCAATCTCTGTGTTTTGATAGCTTTCTCTTTTCGTTTTTTGTAGATTACATTCCAGACTCAAAATTCTACAAGGTGGAAGCAATTGTCAGGTGAAGCTTCTAAAATCTCGTGGTTCCATTTGTATTTGTAAACATGAATCCCAAAAAGTATTTAGATCAATCGTTGTGATAACTTCATAATTGTGACAATGTTGCCTTCGTGTTTCTAACGAACTCGTTTCTACATTCTCATTTGTCATGTATGAATGTAAAAGGCCATGGAGAATCCAGCATGTTTCATCGGTAAGAAATTTTTCATCTTCTCTCAACTTTTGAAATGTCAAAAGATTTCAACTTTGCTAAATCACTTGAGAGGAGGTTTTCGTTATTCGTTTGCAACAAAAAAAAAAGTGTCAAACTTTTGGCATGAGAGTGAAGTTTCTTGGTGTTTGTATAGCTTGAAGAACTCGTGATGCATGCGATGATCAAAACATATATGTAACTGAACTCGATAGGACTGGTCAAACCTTCTTCCTCTAGTGTTTTGCTATGTGAATTTGGAAACTGAACGATTCAGAGTCTCGCACTTAATTGTAGATGCTTGTGACTTGTTTTTAAGTTTTGACATACAGACGACTACTAAATCTTGACTTTCTCTGTTTCATAAAACTCGAGGCTTTGTTGAAAATCGGGATTCGAGGTGTTACCGTATCTGATGTCCGAGGGTTTGGTGCACAAGGTGGATCCACCGAGAGACATGGTGGTAAGTTCTCAAGAACAAGCTTCACTGATTCTTCCTAATGTCAAAATGTGTTCACGGATCTTCTCGCTGAATTTCGCAGGGTCTGAGTTCTCTGAAGACAAGTTTGTTGCGAAAGTTAAAATGGAAATCGTTGTCAAGAAAGACCAAGTAAGTATATGTGATTAAAGAAACCAAAAACTTTCTTAAAAGCGAGATCTGAGTTCCAACAACCATTACTTGTCGCAGGTGGAGTCTGTAATCAGCACCATAATCGATGGAGCAAGGACAGGAGAGATTGGTGATGGCAAAATTTTCGGTAACGGGGCATATATTAATATCAGTCTACTAGACTCATACATCAAAAACGCAGATTGAAATTACTCACATTGTGATTGTTTCTTGTTTGGTTGTATACAGTTTTGCCTGTCTCAGATGTCATAAGGGTTCGGACAGGTAACAAAAAAAAAAAAAAACGTTTCCTTTTGACGAAAGAAAGACTCGAGCTTTTTGGATTTGCCTTAAAATGTGTGTAACTGTCGAGTAAACATTTCAGGTGAGCGTGGGGAAAAAGCAGAGAAGATGACTGGTGATTTGCTTTCACCGTTTTAGGAACAAAGAGAGCAGCTCAAGAAATGGCGGTTTATCATTTCGGTCTCAAGATCGAGTCTCTGCTAATAATAATGAATGGAGGAGTCTTGTGTTTAGTTTACTGTCGAATCGATCAAGATGTGTGTTTAACTGTACATGAATCATGCAGAAAACATCTGTCCTGGTTCTCAGACTATTGAAACTATGTTCCTAATAAAAAAAAACATCAAGTCCCTGTTTTTCTTGTTTTTCTGTATTTTGATGAACTGGTTTTCTGTATTTTGGTGAATTTCCCCAGTGGGGACTTAGGAGCATGATCATCGACTAGCCATAGACCAAAGTCGCGAAAGCGTTTCATCTTGTTTTTGAAACCGACAATGTAGTTACTGTGGATTATTACATGTTTCCCCTTTGTCTCTTTAACCCATGTCATGTTCCTGAAGTACAATCCTCCTGTTGGGAAAGCTGCTTGCGAAAGCAAGTACACATCCACCTTGCAGAGCATAAGATCACAAGAAGAGTTCGAACAAAGTGAAATCACCATTAAAGCTTGTGAACAAATTTACAGAAATTGAATGTGTAACTTGGACTTGGAGCTTGGAGCCATTAGTGGGACACAAGAAAATCGTACAGCTACATATATTACTCGTTTCCTTTAGACCAAGAAGTGGTAAAGGATGAGAGTGATTCAAAGGCTTTCACCTAGCACCAAAACCAAACCACGTACGAGGATAATAAGATTATATACAAGACTCTAATTAAGATGCAAGAAGTTGCATGCACGACATGTCAAGAATGTGTAACTTGGACTTGAAGCAACAACACACCTGATGAGCTGTTTGTTCCAGTGCCCAGTTAAAAGCAGGCTGATCATTTCCTTTCTTTGATTTGGACCAAGGTTGTGCTTGAAGTTTCTCAATCCATTTCTTCATGAGAAGCTTGGAGCCATTAGTGGGACGCAAGAAAATCGTGCAGCTACATATATTACTCGTTTCCTTTAGACCAAGAAGTGGTAAAGGATGAGAGTGATTCAAAGGATAATAAGATTATACAACACTCTGATTAAGATGCAAGAAGTTGCATGCACGACATGTCAAGGAGATGTGCATACGGCAGTCTTGTCATCCGTGAAGTACACGTCATGGCTGCTTTCCAAATACGGAAACGGATCTTGCAACCAGACCATATCGACATCGTTGTACATCACATTGTAGCCTAGCTCCAGAATTTGCAAGAGATGTTGCGGCCTCCGAGATGTTAAATTGAAGAAACCCTAAATCGTATCAGAAAAGTTACTAAATTATCAACTTCGAATTAAAAATCACACATACCGGTAAGTGAGGGTATTCATGCCCATCTATACCAGCATCAACCTCATTAGCGTTCAGTTTTATTAGACACTCCTTTTTTTCTTATCCTAATTTTTATGTACAGATTACATGATCCACTTAACATTTTTATGAATAATAACAATTGGGTCGTTAGAGACTTGGTCATGTAACAACAATTGTCTGTTCACGTGATTATGTTGATTCCGTGGATAATTTGAAATTAGTTTTTTTTTTTCGTATTCCGAATATTTTGATACTGTTTTTTTGTAATGTCTAAATCTGAATTTGATTAGACTCCACAAGTTTTGGTAATTCCTCATTTGTCACTAAATGGTTAGATTACGTTTTGAAGAAGAAAAAAAAGGTTAGGTTATATTACCTTTTAGTATACCTATTTGGCTATTGTAACATCAACTTTTTGCATTAACACAAAATTATCAATTACAGATCATTTTTGACAACATATTTATTACGTTCATCATGATGCTGATTTGATGGTTTAATTCATTGCATGTCACTGTTCTTCTATCTCGAATTTCATTTTGTTAACACAGACCTTGCAATTAAAGAATGCCGAGTGCCATGTGTCAATAACTAGGCGTAAGGTTAAGTCATATCAAATTCGCCATATAATAACACTCACATAAATTCAAAGACCCTTACAAACATGTAAATATTTTAACTCAGTGGATCTATCTTTCGAACTTACTCTAATTTCCCCAATGGGGACTCAAGAGCATGATCATCGACTAGCCATAGACCAAAGTCGCGGAAACGTTTCATCTTGTTTTTGAAACCGACAATGTAGTTGTTGTGGATTATGACATGTTTCCCCTTTGTCTCATTAACCCATGTCTCGTTCTTAAAGTACAATCCTCCTGTCGGGAATGCTGCTTGCGACAGCAAGTAGAGATCCACCTTGTGCAAGAGAAGATCACAAAAGAGTTGAGAAAATGAATTTAAACAAGCGAAAATAATTACAAGTAGATTAGAAGAGTTATGAGTAGATACTTTTTGTGTGTGTGTGTGTACAAAAGAAGAGTTATGAGTAGATAATGAGAGCACCAAAAGCTTTGGTATCACCTGAACTCAACAATATACCTGATGAGCTGTTTTGTTAAGGGACCAGTTAAAAGCAGGCTGGTCATTTCCTTCATATGCTTTAGACCCAGACTTAAGTTCCTCAATCCATGTCTTCATGAGAAGCTTTGCTCCATTCGTGGGACGCAAGAAAATCATGCAGCTACATATATACGTCACTCCGTTTCGATCCGGATGTGGTAAATTATGGGAGTGATTCAAAGGCTTAATCTGGCATCCAGAAAGTTCAAACCGCGAATAAGATTTAATAGAAACACTCTAAAATGTCAATGAGATGTGTGAATTTCCACATACGTTAGTCCTATCATCGGTGAAGTATGCGTCGTGGCTTCCTTCTAATTGCTGAAACGGATCTTGCAGCCATACCATATCTACATCGTTGTACATAACATTGTAACCTAGCTCCAAAATTTGCAAGAGATGTTGCGGCCTCCGAGATGTAAAATTGAAGAAACCCTAAATTGGTTATGATGAAATTACAACAACTTCCTTGGAATGATCATCAAGTAAAGAAACAGGGGATACAAAATCATTTAAATTCTATTAAAAACAGAAAGATAAAAATGGCTGCTACTACATTCACTAGTTCACAGTCTTTTGTTATTCATTGGATCAGCCCAAAATCAAAACTGAAACCTCGGGGACTAGACAAACTTATGATGCAAGTTACAAGTAACATAAAGTAATATATAAGGATTAAGGAAACCTCATGGACTACCCATGGACTACCCAAACTTATTATCTGACTTAAAAGTGGCATAAAGTAATATGTAAAGAACGTCTGTAATCACAAGACATATTTGCAAACTGTAATGATCATCAATGCACTCCTTACCAATTGGTTTTCTCAAAACATACATAAATAACTAAACCAGATCTGATGAACTTAAAGATAAAGATATCTAAAGCTAGAAGCGAAATATGGATCGTGAAAGGTGAAACTGTACCGGGGAACCGAAATACTGTGCGGTCTGAGAATCGAGCGCAGGAGGAATGAGAACGGCGTGACCAGGCCACTTCTTGTTAACCTTGTAAAGTGTGGCGTAGTCTTCGGCGATCACGAGGACTTTGTCTTGATGCTTTTGTCTAGAAACGCTAATCAACCAGTTGTTGAGGAAAGGCATGAAGGGGTAGCTAACGGCGCACACGATCACAGTCCCGTCTTTAGCGGTGAACTTGGCCGCTTGATCGAGGGAGTAGTCGCGCCAGTTAGAGGGGAATGAAGAAGAGCTTCTGTTTGGAAACGGGAAGAAGGGAGAACCTGTCCAGGGTAAGAATACACCAAGGAGGAGGAGGGCGAGGACGAGGAGGAGACCGTTGCGGCTGAGGAGAGAGATAGGACGGTTTGAGATTAAAGAATAAGAAAGAGGAGAGGGAGAGAGAGAGCTTTGGACTGGACGCTGCTGCTGAACCATTGTTGTACCAAGAGACAAACACAATGGGAGAAAAGATGTTCTAAGAAAACGAAAGTGGGAAAATATACAAGATATAGTCAACGCATATGCACGAACTATTCAGATAATATTTCTAGGCAAACGTAACCATTTTTGGAATCCAAACCAAGAAACTACCATGTGCTACTAACAAAATAGACAAAAAAAATAGCATAACACATTTGTATACTGCTAAAAACGTTTCTCCAGTAAACATTTTTCATGAACAATAACGTAGGTCACATCACATGGGGTCCTTAGAGACTCGGACGTGGAAAGTAGTCCCATTATTAAAACTTGTACACAATAATTATCTGTCCGCATGATTTTTATTTCGTGCATGGGACTTTAAACTAGTTTTTCCTTATTCGGAAGATTGTGTGACACTGCTTTTAAGTTATACTATATGAATTGATTAGATTCCACAAGTTTAATTTCCACATTTTTCAAAGACTTTTTCAATAAACTTACTAAAAAGTGGGTCGTGGTGAGTGGTTGAGCAAAATTTAAATGGTTTCATGGTATCTGTGACTCACTCCTTGAGACGGGTTGGTCGATGCACCAGTTTCTTTTGGATAAACCGGGATTTCAAGAAGTGGTTCTCTGCAAAATCTGGTTTAATCCGGATGAAGACACTTCTCAGTATGCTCCAAAGACTCGAATCTATAATAATTGGGCTTGGACCCGAAGATGGCTCGACGTTGGTAGAGAATAACCTTCACAACAACCATATGATCAGTATTAATCATGGTGCTGAAGAAATCCAATACTTGGACGCTCCGGTGGAAACTCATCAAGATCAAGGCATGGAGCAGTGGCTAGGTCTTGTTCTGGTGAGGCTGTCTCATACACGGTTGCGCAACAACTCCAACCGATTATGGGACACATGGAGCATTATGGTCAAGGTTTTGGAGATATGGTTGAGTACCAAAACCAGTATATATTAGGACAAGAGACGACGGATCAAGTTCCAATGATGATGGATCAAGCGTTGAATCCGGGTCCATCCACGCGCGGCGCATCAATGTTTGGGACAAGACGTGGTTCCAATGACTCAAGGCTTGATGGCTCATCATCAACATTAACACTTGGTTGCTCTACATCAACAACACTTCTTGGTGAATAGAAGCATCATGGAGCAACATCAAGACTTTGGTTCTTTAGGTCAACAGCAAAACAATACTCTTGGACGACAAGAAACCAATCTCTCACTTATGGTTATGGAGCAGCAGCAACAGTAATTCCAGAATCAGTTTTAGAGACAAGAGACGGATCCTTCACACTCGGCTCAAGCCATGGAGGAGCAACAGCAGTGGAATGTGTATTCTGGTCCACACTTGGCTCAACCATATGATCAAAGCATGATGGAACATCAAGACTTTTGGCTATTCTGATCGATGTTTGGCTCAGAACAACGCTTGGAGAACAGCAATTGGGAGAAGACTCATACTTGTCTCTAAACCAACATCAAAACCAAATTCTTGGACAAGCCACCCGTCTCTCTCCGATGGAGTAGCAGTTTTGTCAAACTGATTGCCAAAACCAGTTTTGCGGACAGGACACAAGTCCTTCAGAGGTTCCAATTACGGTGAATCAAGCCTTGGAGATTGCCAAAAAAAGTTCTTTTTCTTATGTTCTCATTCTTTAGCAGTGTGCTGTGTGATGATGCATAATCCCCATAATAAGTATCAATACAAATAACTAACACATTCCGTTAGCTTCAAGTCAAAGGTAGTCCTGGATATTACTCTAAATTTGCTTTTTTTTTTTTTCCGAGTAAAGGATATTCTTTTTGTACTTTTGTGATTTGGGTCTGTACGCATGTGAGCTTTGAGATGTTGTTTCTTGAAAAAAGGTCCTTCAGTTTTTTAATTTTTTTTTTTTGTGTGGTTGAAACTGGAAGATGTTTGTCTCAGCGATATCTCCTCTATCAACAACTCTCACCAGACTATTAAAACAAGATGGACCAAACCGGTCACCGGTTCGAAAGTTCCTCTGCCTGAGTCAGAGGAGGCAGAGCGAAACCGGTACCGGAAAATCTTGGATCATCCCAACGAGTCTCTCGCTTTTTGGTTCAGGCTTCCTCTTGGGTCCTCTCCTCGATGGTCTCCACTCACGTGTCGATCTCGTGGTTTACCAAAACGGAGCTTTGCAAATCGGTCCTCTTCATACCAACATCTGGGTATCTCAAAAAACCCAAAAACTTTGAAATCTTTTCACAAACTTTCTCTAATTGTTAATGAGTTTTTTTCTTTCAGGTCCCGATCTTGCTTGGCTTATTTTACTGCACAGTAGGGTTAGTGCAACTCGTATTGGATGATAAAACGTCTACAAAGCCTCCACGTGGCAACCTGAACAAAACAGTAGTTTCACTGTTGTAAGTAGTAGTACTCTTTGTTGTATAGTTGTTGTGTGATCAACAATTTTTCGACTCTCTGGAAGTGAAATTATATATATGGTTTTGTGAATGAAACAGAGCATTGGTGTTGTTCTTAGAGCTAAGTGCTGAAATGTACAAAGCTGGAGTTTCAGACAACATAGAGGCTTACATTCTATTTGCCTTAGCGGAGTTTATATGGTTCTCTCTGGATAGAACTTGGCTTGGCTTTACCATTGCCACGCTCCTCGGCATCGCCTGTCCTTTGGCCGAAATCCCCATAATGCAGTAAGTAACCATCTCTCCCTGTTTCTACAGAGACAGGTCTAATTAAAGATTGACAATTTCAACAGGTTCTTGCATCTGTGGTACTATCCAGAAGCAAACATAGAGATCTTTGGGCAGGTACAGAGTGTTTTTTTTTTACATGAAATATTCTTCAAGGGAAAAAAAAACAACATCAAAAGAGTGTTTTGTTTTCTGGTGAAGGGACTGGTCACTTGGACAACAACTTGCTACTTTGTCTACACACCGTTCTTGATCAACCTTGCAAGATGGCTCAAGACAGTTACGGAGACTACTACTACTACTACTGATGTGGACATTACAAAATGAAGTTAGCTCAAACAAAGAGCTAAACTTCACAGTGGGTTTTCTTTAGCTTGTAAAAGTTACATTAGATATGTCCTTGAACTTTTCTTTAATCGCTGCTCGTATTCCCATTCCAATCGATTCTGGTCCAACGTACTTCACAAGGCAGTCTTCACCTTCAACTGCTAAAACTTGCACACTTCCGCCATAGTTCTTGATCGCTGGTCTCAGTATATCGAGATGAGCATTCACTGCCTGTGTAAACAACAACAAAACCAGTCAAAGACAAGCGGGGAAGAAAAAACATCAACGAGGGTTTTGTTTTTATAAAAAGCAGCCTCACCTCCACGTCTATCTGCTTAACTTCATCATCAAAAACTTGTCGAATATCTTTCACTGTGTCTCCAAACTTTTCCTTAAGCACCCTCTCTATTCCCATTGTCATGGTTGTAGAAGAACTTGGACAGCTAGTACATGCTCCTAAACATTCAACATAAGACTCCATTACATAACATGACGTTCTTGTCGGAACTGAGGATGTTCTTAGAGAGAATTCAACTCCAAGAACGAGAATTAATACATGTACCCAACTCTGATCAGTGACAGATTCCCACAACTCAAAAAGCCATCAAAAAGTTTCAAACTTGACAAACGAAATCAACAACCCCTAACTCCAAACTAATAGCAATAATAATAAAAAACTAACCTTGGAGTTTGAGAGAAACCACGCCGTCCTCAACGGAGACAACGTCGACGTTCCCACCGTCGGCGATCAGGAACGGCCTGACATCTTCGAGGACCAAATCGACATTTTCAGGCGTCAAGTCGAAAGTCTGAGCTGAGTATAGACCCGGCGATGCGACGGATGCGAAAGGTGAAGCCGTAGTTTCTCCTTGGCTCGAAGCATTTATCGCCACTCGGCGCAAGATCGCCGTTCTAGGGATCGGCCTGTGACTGTAAGCAAACGATACGAATCTCGAGTTTTGATCGGCGATTACAGGAAACCCAACTCTAATCGAACACGATGAAACAAGAATCTTGGAGCTCCCGGCTCCGGCCATGGAAGTCGCCAGAGAAGCCATCGTTGTGGGATTCCGATTAGAGCGAGTCTGTGGCCACAAACTGAAAAAAGAAATTCAAGAATTTGCGGTCTGGTCCTTTAATTTTAAACTGTTTTTAATTGAAAAGACCAAATCAGAATATGAAAACGGTGGACCCAACTAATGGGCCTATCGACTTTAATGACGCTTTTCTTTACGACCCAGTCCATTAACGAGAAAAGACACGTGTGAGTTGCGTCACCTTTTGTGTGTTTGACTTTTCCTTATTTTTGACCAATCAATGTTTTGTTCAACTTTCTTCGTTTTTCGACTTTCCTCTTCCAACAACGGCTGTGTTAGAAAATGCAACAGTGATGACCCCCACAGACATCTATAAAAGAAAAAATGATTTTTTGCCGTACAAATTTATTGTTTCCTTTAGAGAAAATGAAATATTATAACATATCATTACTAGCCCGCATATCAAGAGGAATTGACTCAAAAGTTTATATAATTGTTTTTTTGTCAACAGTTCTGTAGAATTGTATCTCTCTTTCTTTTAAAACAATACTAAGACCGGAACTAATATTTTAACAAAACTAAATAATAATATTTCATATTGCAAGTGTCTGTTGACTAGCTTTTTTTTATATATCGGTGGTATATTCAGTTTTTTTTTTATGTTCATTTCAGATGCTCACATGGTTTCTAGACCTAGGCCCTAGTAAACGTAAAACAATAACTTTACGCTTTAATACATAGAATATATAACTAATTTTGACGAACGAATATCTGCCGTATTCATTAAAGGTTTGAGTAAATTAAAATAAAATAAACCAAAAAGAGCCGCTGTAACAATTTTGGCTATGAGTTCTATATGAAAACTTTTGGCTATGAGTTCTATGAAAGCAGAGAAAGAGGGAAATGCATAAGCTGAAAGTTGGCAAGTCTATTTCTTATTTATTTTTTTATTTTTTTGAACATGGCAAGTCTATTTCAGTTTGTATTCTTTTTAACACTTGCTTGTTCCATTCGTTATCACATTTTCTGTATGTTGTCTTTTTGTGTTCTTCAATCATTTCATTTAATTTGATGTCTATTAGTTGCACCATAAAACTTTTGAAATTGATTGAAGAGCTATGAAGCCTTTGTTTTTAATGACATATATAAAAAGGAAATAATAAATCTAACTTTATCCCAATTATCCAAACATCAATTTCATTTTTACCCGCAGTAAGTTTTTTTTGTTCTAAATTTTCTGTTTTTGTTTTTGATATTCGAAATAAGCATTTCTAACAGAGAAAAACAAACAAACATTCAAAACATTACGATACGAACCCTGCAGTTGAAACCAAAGGGTTAGAAGTAATATTATTATCTGCCATGCATCAATACTTTCATCTTTTTCTATAAAGTATTTTTTAGTTTAAAAAACTATCTGTTCGCAATCTTTATCAGTAATTTTCTGTTTTGATTTTGATATTTAAAACAAGCATATATATCTAAAAGAAAGGAAAAAAAACATTTAAAACAATATGATACCCCGAGGTTAATTTGGAACCAAAAGACGAGCATGTCGATGTAGCGATCGACTAGCGATGATACTGCAGATAACAACGAATAGAGATTAGCTTATCCCTGATCGTGTTGTCGATGGAAGTGAAGAATATTCCAGTTGACAAAAAAACAAAATCTATAGGTGCAGTTAATTATACCAAACCATGCATATATAATATACAAGGCTACATGATTGAAATTTTTGTTTGGTTACATTATTTGGGCTAGACCGTTAAAACATTTATGATGCATGTGCCAACCAATACAACGCACAAATTAAATGACAACTTTTGACGTGTCCGAGTTTATATAAATGATTGCTAAATAATAAAAGCATTTGTATAGTTTTGAAAGACAAAAAAAAAAAAAATTCGTTGTGGACCATTGTTTTATAAAGGTAGAACGGCAAAGCCAAAATAATCTAAAAAAGAGTTTGGATGATATAAACCATATATATATATATATATATATATATATATATATATATATATATATATCTTTCTCGTGGGATTGTCTGTTGGGTTAATTTCTGAAATCGTATAAGAAATTTGAAGAAAAAGAAAAGAAAAACCATGAAGATATACATTACCAAGAAAAAGATAGTTACATTTACGTAGACATAATTAACAATTAAAAAAAAATGAATGAAGCATTGGTTTACTTACACACAAAATACCGAGATATAACCACTCAAACCTAAAAGAAAATTTTATTTTTTCTTAACTACGCCATTATTACCAGCCAAGATCAAATACTTGTCTTTTCTAGTGAGATTGGTGCACTCGAAGTCCAACGCTTTCCCAATGTCGCTCTGAACATGATTAGCCACTTCAAACTTCAACTTCCCATCAGGATCTTGACACGTGACACCGGAGACGGAATCGAGAAACTGGACGGTGTAGGTAGGATAGGGATCCATGAGGAAGAAAAGCGGGTCAAATGCCTTGAGACCACTTGCCGTTGTACCATAGAAGAAGGTCACGTGTGACGTCACAGCCACGGGAACGATGACGTCACTAACCTCGGTGAACAAAGGACTAAACCTAAGCAAGTGAGGTTCTCTACAAGTGGTTCCTTCCGGACAAACCACAAGATCTCCTTCGGTCAACAATCTCTCCATTGCTTGACCGTCGCTGACCCGATCACGGGTCAGTCTAACCGTTTTGATCGGAGCCAAAATCTCGGATACTCTACTCAAACTATACGTTACGGTTTTGATGTTTTTCTTTTTCAGAGCGAATGCAACATAGAGAGGGTCCAACAAAGTTCTATGGTTACACGCAAAGAGACAACCTTTGCGTCGACTCGTTGTTTTTAGCTTTTGAGATGAAACATCGTCGAGATTAACGGTTAGTCTGCAACCGGAGAAAGCGAGGATCGGGATTGAGAAGGAGTAAGGGATGCAAAGAGAGACGAAGAGTCTGGCTGCTGCGGCTGCGGCCGCGAATGGACCCCACATGAACAAGGCAAGAGAGTTCATTATGGTTGGTTTGATCGCGAGACGGCCATCGTGGAAAATCAGTGGTTTAGGGTATTGGTTCTTCGGTAGGGTTTGCCAGCTTCTCTTGTCGGATTTCTTCACGAAATAAATCTCCTATTTTTATTTCAATAGTTAAAAAGAGAAAAAGACAAGAAAAATCAGTTGAGTAAATAACATGATAACAATGAATGAAAAATACCTAACAAGATCAGTTTTTTAAGTATTATTGGAATTTCAAAACCACAACTTGTGTATTTCACTGTCATGGCTAATAACTATGCATACAGATTATGTCGTCGTTTCTTATTCGTATTTAATGATATAGGCCTTGATCTGTTGTTGTTGCTTTTTTAATGTTTTAAATTTCGTATTCACAATTAAAAGAAATAGTATAATGCAAAGTGTGTCTCATCGTCACCACTTTAACTACTCATATGCTACGTCGCTTTTACTATAATCAGGAGAGACCATATCATCCGCTCAATTCAAGCACAAAAAGAAGTAGATGTATACGTGTACATTTGTATCTATTAGTATAAACATTTTTTTTATATATGTTTCTTCTTATAGATTATTTTACGTTACTTTTTAAGTTATGTGATTGCTAAAATGGAGAGAATATCATTTAATGTAGACGTAAATGCGAACATAAAAAAAAATAGAAAAATACTGACCTGGCAGAACTGAGAGAATAAATATCGGTGAAGAGATGTGTTGAAGGAAGTGATGCCAATAACACGACCAGTGTTTAGTCTCTCTTTACGAACCAACTCATCAAAGACAAGATCGTGTTTGGTCTTATCCTCCATGATTCCTAAGTAGTAACCACCAACGACCTTCATTTCTCTCCCGCCCACAACTTCAATCTCCAAGTAATCTTTCAAGAATCCTTCGATCATAGCTTGAGGAAGATCATCACTCACAGCAATTCTCTTCCCTCCTTTCCTCAACACTTTGAACATTTCGAGCCCGACATCTTCCAGGAAGTATTTAGGCAAAACCCCTCTTCCCGCTCTAAAGCCATCTTTCTTGACCCCAAAGAAGCTCACCATTACCATCACTTTGACACCCATCTCGTGGCTCATCAAGCTTATCAATGGATAGAGAATGAAGAGGATAAATGACCTAATTACCCCTCCGGCCTCGAATGCTACTAGCATGAAGTAAGGGAAGAGAGAGTCGGATTTGAGAAGAGCTCCTTCTACGTTGAAGATCAAGGTGTGGCGTGATAGGTCGGATTGGAGGAGAGAAGAAGGGCATTTCTGGTATTTTGGTTTAGGGTTCCGATATCGCCGGAGGATGAACCGGTAGAAAAGAGATACAAGAGATTGGAAAATTGAAATCTTAACTGACATTTTTGTGTGTATGCAGAGAGCTTAATTTTCTTGTTCTCAGTGTGTTTGGTTCTAGACACTGCATGTCGGGTTAGCAGTTGAAGGGGTGTATTTATATAGCAAGACCATGACGAAGTTACCCACAAACGTGTTGAGTATTTACGAAAAAATTGCCATTGATCGTTAACGTACAGCTTGCATAATTATACATTAAATGAGATTATCAAGTGAACATGTGAAATAGTATATTTGAAAAGTATACGTACGCGTGTCTGCGTAGACAAACAAATTTTAGTCGCAAAGAGTATATGAGTCAAAGATTTTGATTGAATTGTAAGCAGAATTATTTTTGGGGTTATAATAAAGGGATAACACGAGTCAAAGTTTGAGTATAATCGCCTAATCGGAGATTAATTAACACACATAAGTACGTACGTGACTTCAAAGTCTTCTTCTAAATTTTCAATTGTGTGTATTCAAATGTTCTTTTGAACAAAACGAAACTGAAACGTCATTGCATATAATATATCTACTTTTACATTTGCCAAACAATAAATTATTTGATGGAGATCCGTTCAATATTGCGTAAAATTCTCTTGGAATGGTTATATATGTATCTTATATTAATTCCGAATCACTATTATATCTCCAAGTGGGAATTTATCTCATTAAATGATTAGAACTTAATTTTAGCAAACTGAAACTAATGATGGAGAAATCATACGACTAGTAATACATACATGATAGATATTGACTGATGTGCTAGTCTATTAGGACAAGTTGATTCGTGTTTTGTCCTATCTTTTATCGGTTGTCTTCGAGAAGGAAAATTAAAGGGTCCACTTACATTCAAATTAGAAAAAAAAAATATGAAACTAAAATAAGAAAGAAAAAACTGTCCTACAAATATTAGCATATCCAGAAAATTAATTGTTGGTCCAAAAATAATTGCTAATCAAACGAATGTGGTCCAAAATGTTTTAATTCCAGTTAATATTGCACCAACTTATAACTAATCTATATATGCACTTCCCAAACTAATTCCAAATTTTAAAAGAACAAACATTATCATGCATATAAGTATGTTTATAATCTTGGAAATGACAAGTCTTTTGAGCACGATCTCTTTTCTATGGGGAGGACACAATAACAAATATTAAAAGTAACGAGTAAAACTCGATAATGTAAGAAATTGTAGGGATGACGATAGAAAGACAGTTAAAACGCATTGAATGCTAATGAGTCGCCGACCACGTTTCTATGGGTGTGACTGTGCGGTGTGTGCGTGGGATGGGATGGGGATATTTTTTTTTTTTTTTACTTTAAGTTTATTTTATGCACTTTTTTAACTTTAGTCAACTGGTAAAATATTCATATCATTCTTCTTTTGTTCTCCGCCAAAACTAAACTAATTGTTGATTACTATATTACTAAATTAATACACAGCTCGAAAAAATTTACATCGCGGATGTTATTGTAGTTTGTCAAGAAAGAGATGAAAATCTCTAAAATTCAACTATATATATAGTTAGCCTTGATATAATTTTAATTAAGCCTATATAAATCATATAGAATATGCAGAGTTTGTTCGAAGTTCGAACTTTTGGACACAATATATTTGTTAAACAAGACCAAACAAAAAAAAACCTTGGACATATATGTAATATGTACTAGTTTTACACGTACCCTTTTGTGGGTTAAAGGGTTCTCAACACGTACCTTTACGTACGATGCTACAGAGCTATCAATAAGTAAGACTATGTATGCCTAGATTTTACAAAGTAAAGCAGAAGTGCTTTACTAAGCTTCATTGATTAGGGCAGAGGCTGTCTCTGCAACAAACTTATATAAAGAAAGATTAACTTATATTTTAAATCAATCGAATTTTTAATTTCTGCATTCTCCGTGTGGTTCAAATGCTATAGAGCTATAATCATTGATGAATTAACCATTCGTTGGCCAACAGGTCAACCACATCTGCTCATATAGTCATTATTACTAACTCACATCGACTCTCACGATCTTACTTACCTAAGCACTTAATTTCACTTCCTCTCGCTAAAAAATAAATTTGTTTTCTCATATAACAATTTTCGACACATTACTATCGAAAACAAAAGAAAACATTAAACACATTATAGACAAGAAAAGCAAAAGATTGTAATTATGTATATATATATATATATATATACGCAAGATCCAAGATATAAGGGTCAATGCATACAAGATTTCAACAACATCACTCACAAAAGACTCAAGTTTTCTGAGTTAATGCATTGGATATATAGCCGCATACCAATATTTTGGGTATTGAAAACTTGTCTATGAAATTAAACTGGTAAAGCCGGAAAAAATATATTCTAACTCTCAATATTATTTTTGGCATATTTTTTGTGTTTAAAAAAATTTACAATATACATGTTAATATTATGGTAATGTCACGTTATATATTGTCTCTTATGATAATATATAAAAGACGAGACAATAATATCATATATAATAATAGTTGACACAATGCCGTGAATTCAGAAAAATTGTTGGAATTGTCTTATATTGGAAGTTTAAGAGATTTGTGGACAATATATATAGTGAGGCAATTCTTTACTTTTGAGTTAGTTTTTGAGTGTGAGTTAAATCTATCCACGGTTAAGAGAAACAAAAAAATTGTATGTAATAGGTCAATTCACAAAAATAAGATTTAGAGAAACTAAAAAGAACCGCGTTGTACGTAATGATACCATGAAAATATGATGAATGGTGGTGTTATGTTATTCTCATTAGCTTATGTTAAAAAAAAACACACGGGCAAATTTACATGGTAAGAGTTGGATATTCCCATGCACCAGGAAGGCAGGAATCTATTTAATACAATCTTTTCTCATAATAACTAAGACCAATAAAAATTACTAAGATCTAAATTTTAGATTTTCGTAGGACATTTTTTGTGCAACCACATTAGAAGGACATAAATTCAACAAATATCCGCTGCTTATTGTAAACACACAAACTTAAACAAATATTTAGTCTGTAAAGTCCAATCTTTTATTTTGTGATGGTTAAAATCCGAACACAACTAAATAGTGGAAGAAAGAAACCTTAGAATATAAAACAAATAAACGAAAAAGACCATACAGGAGAAAGAACAAAACAAATAAATAATTATATATAAGAAAAGGAAATGAAAAAAGAGTTGACTAGAGTAGCATATGGACCATGTATGGTGCACGGGAATGCTTGAAGTTGAAGAAGAATTGGCTTAAACTAAGCATCGACGACTTCGTTTTAAGGCATGATCCGCGTAAAGGGGATGTAACATGCAATGTACGTACACTGCCTTTTTCGTAGTAAAATTAAGGTTGTACGTGCTTCGGAAAAAGTATGAAAGTTCGCTTACTATATATATATATATATATAAAATAATAGTATTGGAGTATGAAAAAAATATTACGACTTGGGTGGATTTTAATTCGAATTTTCCATCTTTCATGTGTCTTTAGGCCTTATCCATCGTCAACCCAAAAGAGTAACACCTATATACATTTTTAGAGGAATTGCAAAGGACCGATCGTTAGGAGCTAATGCTTATATACTGATGAGAATTTAAGAGATAATGAGATATATATATATATATATATATATATATAGGAAGAATGCGAATCAACTCATGAGGTAATTCTTTTTCAAAAAAAAAAAAACTCATGAGGTAATTCGATTTGAACCAAAACGAATTTTAGTTCGATTTATACGACTTAATGTATTTTTTCAACTGAAACACTTGCTTTTCAAGTTTGTAGGTTGTGGGGGGACTTGTCTTGTGAGTCGAGATTAAAGTGACAATTTTTGTTGTTGTAGTCTTTAATTTTAAACATATCTGCATATATATAGTAGTAAAAATACCGAGCTTTTTACAGAAGAAAAAAAAAATTACACAAATTTTTTGAGTTTTTGCCCAAAATCATGAGTTTCCCATTTTGTTATTTTCAACAGAAATTGCTGCTGGTTTTACTTTCTTCTGTTGGGAATTTTCTTTTCTTAAAAGAAAAAAATGTGATTCGTCCAAAAAAAAAAAAAAATGTGAATGCGGTAAAAACTAGTGGATGACTTATAGACAAATTTTATCATTATGTCGGTAAAATTGTAAATGGCCGCCGTTAAACGTTGTAGAATCTAATTGGTAAATGCTGTCATTTTCAGTATTTTATCAAAGACCTTTTTTGTTGTTGTGCGAGAATTTATCAGGAAAGATGAGTCTTTTTCAATAACAAAAAACAAAATGTCCATGGGGAAAATCTTCAGTTCCTTCATTAATTTATCAATTTTCTTTATAAACTTGATGAAACTGACACCATGAAGACAAAACTAAGCTCGGATCTTGATTAGTCACATTAACATCACAAACCTGTCTAAATTTGGTTTGGCTTATAACGATTCAGATTATAATGCCTCGACGCATGAAACACAACAACTAGAAAGTTTCATCAAGGATTGATGATAGAGCATCATCATTATCAATCATCTAATGAAAAGCCTAACCATCATTAATCAGCATCAGCATCAGCATCATTGTTTAGGTCGCTGTACAAAAGCTAGCCTCCAAAAAACAAAAAAGGAACACGTTCATCCATTAGAAATATATACACGCATGGCAACAGGGAGACAAACATGTGAGCACAAGAACAGAGCAAAAGGATCAATCGAGTGATGTCAAGAATTTACAAACAAAACAGAAAAGCATTAGTACTGTTTTTGGTTTACATTACAAGAATCCCAAGAGCAGTCCATCATCTGGTAATTCCTTCTTCATCGTCTGCGCCCGAAACTCTCTTATACCTGAAATTTTACACAAAACATCATCAATTCGAAGACACTGCTGTGATCTCAGTTAGGGAACACTGATCTCTCTGGTCCGTGGGGCTCCAAGTTTCGGTGCAGCGTGATGAAGAAAAGAGTAAGGGTTCTCTCACCTGAAAGAAGTAGTTGGGCTGTGATCGATTCTATCACGAGGAGCAAACTCATTGTAGAACTGAACAGAGACCATACGGTTACTGGCTGAAACAGTTGGCGCAGGAGTATTGTCTGAATTAAAACTTGCGTTGCTTGTGAAGAACCCTGCAAAAAGAGAAATCGAGGGAGTTTGATGAGATACCAGAAGCTTTGGTCATCCAACAAGTTCGATGAGATATACCATAAGCTTCGGTCACACGCAATAGAAGAACCAAAAGAAATACCTAATAGAACATTTGACCAAAGATCTCCAAAGCTAAAGCAAGAAAGATGACAAAGTGTTTGATTGCTGAAGAACCAACATCACACAAAGATAAAAGGGGACTAATGTGAAGGCAACAATAGAAACTAGGCAAAGCCAGGAAAGAAAAGAGAAGCAAACTCGAAGAAAGAAGCTTTAAGAGAAAATGGTGTGGTTTTTATTACCTTGAAAGATAAGGAAGACGAAGAACACCACCGTCACAATCATGGCGAAAATGCTACTGCAGGGAGACGATGCGTTTGCTGCTTTCATTCTTCTCAGAGTTTTCATCCGCTCGATCCTAGCACGCTTTCTCATAGCGAGCTCCGCGATTTCCCTCATCAGCTTCTGGTCATTTGCAGTCAATGACGGACCTTTCGGAGGTCTCGGAGGCTTCTTAAACTTGACATTGTCGAATTTTCTGTCCGAAAGGTCCAAGCTTTGACTGTTTCTTTCTCTCCGCTTCCCGTCTCCCATTAACGGGTTTGTCGGATCATCAGCAAACTTTTCAGACCCATCAAAACTTAAACGTCCACTCCAAACTTGCTGATTCGAAACATCCTCTGATAAAACAAGATTCGACGTTATCCCTCGTGTCTCCTTGAATCCAACACCACCTTCAATGTCAACATCAAGATCTTCTTCTCCCGAAACGATTTGATCCATCCTAAACCCTTTACTTTCCCCTGCGTTATCTTTCTTTAGAAGCTTCCTCAGCTCGAAATATTCGCTCTTCTAAGCCCCTTCGTCCTCCTAAGGTAGCAAATGATATTAGCACAACAATTCACCAACAAAACTGCAAAAAGACAAATGTTAATTTTGTGTCCACCGAAACAACCACTCACACCTGTGAATCTTATTTCGTAAATCCTTTCATTTCAAACGAGAAAATTCCTTCTTTTTGTATATTTGTAGGAACTATCAGCAAATTAGATTCCAAGATTGAATGCAACACAAAATCAACCCATTTCTGAAACATAGCTTCTAGAAATAAACATCTAATATGTCAAAGATTTAGATTTTATAAGCAATCTCGAGAAGAAAACAGAAAAATTCCTACAGACAACAACCTTAAAAACTCACGGATTCAAGCATAGTCGCTGGGAATGTCAAAACCCCTCGATGCTGCGAGGTACGAGGAAGACAAAAAGGAACAACTTTGAATCCAATTTTGGGAAAGGAAAGAGAGAATATTGGACCCAAATTAGGGTTCATATGGGTCAAAAAGAAATCGAGAAGAAAATTGATTTTATTCTTCTTTTCTTTCTTTATTTGTGTCTCGGTTATTATATATAGAGAAAATTACGGAGACAGGCACTTTCCGAGATTCGAATTACAAACTGAGTCACTTCAAAATTTTAACACACTTTCGTCTTCTGAATAGACTTTTATGCCCCTCGGTATGTATCTTCTACTTCTCTTGATTTCTTCGTATATCCGTAATTAAAACTAATTACCATTTTACTTTCTGTAACAAAACAGAAATTCCGATGGCGTCTGAGATCTAACACCTCCGTCTCCGCCGGCGGATAATTCGAATCAATGCAGTCATAGATTCAGCAACTTCCGAATCGCTGCTTCTGGTTTACGGATTAGAAACATCCCTTCGATTATTGACCGTGCTAGGCGTTCTGAATCCTAACTGCTAAAAACCTCATACCGATTTGATCTCGGAATAGCAGGTAATCTCCATATATTAATGTTAATTTTTGCCTAGATTTTCTTGTCTCGGCCGGTTCTAGTTCATACTTGCCCAGATTTCGAAAATTCGATACTGATTATCAGTCCCAATTATAGTTAAAAATCCACAGTAGCCTTGATAATTGTTTTCCCTTTATCTTCGTCTGTCATCGTTCATTTGATTTTGTTGTCATGTACAATCCATCATCATCTACTCAATTCATCCATGGTCGACAATCATATAGTTCTTACATATATTGCATCCACATATAGCATCCACTTCAAACATCCATATCAATAATCTACATTGACATTGCAATACACTATCTATTAAATAATGTATCCATAGGATGTCACCATATTCCTCATTCAATTATCGCATCTAACATATAGCAGCCACATCAAACATCCATCTGCTGCATCTACATACATCATCCACAAATACCATCCACACTGGTCGCCCACATCTTGCATCCATATTGCATCCATATCGAATAGTACTGTATTAGCCTCATCCACATAGAGCATCCATATCAAAAAAGAAAATTACTTTGCCTCGTCTATATGGATCATCCACACATCACCGCAATGTTGTGTGGTAATGAGTTATCAACATACTCTGAAACCACATACACTACCCACAACTACACACCGAATCCTTTTAACTCGTCTATATTTAGCATCCATCTCATCTAACTCATCCAGCACAATAACCCATACTATCAATCTAATTGTTTTTTACAACCTGCAGGATCTGTCCACAATCAGGAGTGGGACACACGCCTACCGACACGCTTGTTTGCAACCGATAGATTTCCCAAGGCTTGCTTCAATATTTACTCCAAAGCCGAGCTACTCCTTTCCATCCACGACATCTTTAGAGATACTCCCGAGTTCGAAACCATTCGGTCTTCCTGTTTCGGTCAACTTTTCGACCTTCCAGCAAATAGGTGCTGTAACTCTGGCCAGCTCCTTCACGTGTTGATAAGTAGACAGTTGCTAACAAAAAAAAGTATGAGTGGTGAACTGTATTCGCCGAACACCCGCTAAGGTTTTCCCTCCCAAAGTTTGGCAAAATCTCCGGTTTGCCTTGTGGACCATTCCCTGAAGGCTATGACTATGAGTACGACCAATCAGATGTCACTCACCCCGACTCGGCTTGGAAAGAAATCATAGGAGACAATGCTTTTGCCACTGTAGATGACATCATCGAGCTCCTCAAATCCCGATCCATTACCGACAGAGGTAGAATTATACGCCTAGCACTTATAGTAATTGTAGACGGTGTTCTCATTGCTAGCGCACAGACTCCCCGCCCTACACCAAAATAAGTGTCCATGCTTCTGGACTTAGACTGTTTCCTCAACTTTCCATGGGGTCGGGAATCTTACTTACGCACTCTTGAGCACATGCGGCCAGGTATACCCTCATTCTCATCACTTTTATTATGGTGCCCTATATATTACTAAATTTTTCACACTTTACTTCTTTTAAACAGGTCAAAGGATAGCAAGAAAAGCTGCACACCCAATACGAAATTTCTGCGAGAAGTTGAAATCTGGTTCGATGTGCCTAAAGGGATTCCCCCTCATATTACAGCTCATGGCTTTCAAAAACATCTCTTCCCTCCCGTCTTTACTCAAACTGTCGGATGAAAAGCCTACCCTCATACAAACTCATCGTGTTAAGCTACCAAAGCAACCACCTCTTCAAATGGACGATATCCTTAGAGCGGAGCACGACCCCAAGGTATATGCCCTATGTTATTTCCATCAGTGTTTTGTCTTTCTCAATCTCTATATATAATCGCCAATTTTGTTGCTTCGATATATATATCCAGCTTGTCGTCAACCCGATTTTCTCTTTCGAACCCCTGGACGACGAGGGGTGGGCTGAATGGGACGACGAATCAAAGGATGCAAAGGTGAAGTTCATGGTAGACCGCATTGACAAGGGTGACACTTTCTCGAAACATGAATGGCCGGGCGGTGATTCTTCTTTGCCTCTTGTTGTTGTTAAGCCCACCAAGCTGGTTGGATATACAAAACAGGCCACCGCTCGACGGCCCGCTAAGGGCAAATCAGCCAGCATGACACCACCTGCCTTCTCTTCGAAGAGCAGAACAAACCGTCGCATAAAAACGAGGCAGCTCCATATAAACGCCGACGCACCCCATGAATACGAAGAACAGAACGCATGGTTACTTTCACAGGTCAAGCACCTCAATGCCCAATTTACATAACTTCGCAGAAGAACTTCTATAGTAGAACACCAGCTACAAACTGTCAAAAACCGCCTCCGTCAGAGACCATTCTATCCCCCTTACAAGAGGAAATCACAGGACAAACACGAGCCCTCTATCTCAACAACCAATTACATACCACCCATCATTAGCTTAAGAGAGGAGTGCGGCACCACTTCCAAATGGATGGAGTCCTCGGTGCTGGGACAAGAGGTACACTCTATCGTTTTTTCCTAATAGTTAGTACATTCATAGTTTTACATCCCATGCATACATATATCATATCCACATTGCATCCATCCTTTACACGTTCTACACCTGCATCCACTAACTTTGCATCCACCATCTAGAGTGTGTACATCCACAATACCTATCCATTGAGTTCCTCCTTTACCGCCAACTCTTTATTTCATCCAAAAACGCCATCATCCATCATTTTCTTCTTCATTGTTCATCCATTTTTGCTAACCCATCACGTACTGCCATCAAGTACATTCAGCACTTTCATCCATCGCGTCAATCCATCACGTTCATCCATCACACCATCCATCATGTTCATCCATCATGTTCATCCATCATGTTCATCTATCCTGTTCATCCATCATGTTCGTCCACCATATTCGTCCACCATATTCGTCCATCACGCCCATCTATAAGCACCATCCATTATATTAATTCATCATATTCATCCACCACATTCATCTATTACCTTCATCAAACACATTCATCCATTCCTATCATCCATTTTAGAGCGCCCTTTCACACCTGTAACTGAACTTTGACACAACTCCACATCTTCTCAGGACGAACTTCTGCAGGGTAACAGATCCTGCGCCTCCCCTCACATACGCAATGACAATGCCAACGCCGTAAGTTAACTCATCTTTATAGACTTCACTCGACTTTTTAATCTCTAACACCCTTTACCACCAAACACTATGTAGGGAGGTAACCCAATTCAAGACGACGTGAGTCAGAATTCAGCCAACAGCGACGGATCCACCCTCCTACATCATCAGTCTACTATTTCTAAGGTAACAATATCTTCCATTCTCTACGGTGAATTAAGCATATGTTACAATACTAACACTACCCTCCAACAGAATTTCGCCGAAGAAGTGTCTCATGTACCACCCACAATGCTAACCAAACTCCCTCCATCCGATTATTCCGCCGTCATTAGGGCAGTTATACAAGATATTCGCACTCTACCAGACGATGAGTTTGCACCCCCACCATGTGATGTTAGTCTTCCTCCCTAATGGTCTCCCTTCCTTATATTCACATTACTAACAGCTTCTGCAGGCTCACCAAACACCTTCCATTGCCGATGATGCCCAAACAACTACGACAATCATCACATCACCAGCGGTTCAACCATTGTATGTAATTTCATCTTTCTCTGCTACTCCAACGTAAAGCGTCATCCCCAATCTCAACATTAAATTGTCTTCAACAGGTTCCACTACGACCACCGAGCAATTCAGCCCTCTCCACCAACGACCACGATCACGTAAGATCTCCCACCCCAAACCTTGATTCTACACATTTTCTACACAACACTCACCTCATATTTTATTAGTTTCAGTCCTCTCCTCCACTAATACCCCTTATAACGGCCGACCAGACCATATCTCATTCAACACCCGAGGCACCTGGAGGATTAACGGTATGTTTCTCGCCATACACTTTGTCCCTCAACCTTATACTTGCATACTAACCACTCATTTCACTTTTAACCACCTCTCTCTGTAGCTGGGGCCTCTCTCAAACCCCCCGAGCAAGGACAGTCACGATGTCGACGGCCCCCCATTTCTCCAACATACGCCATATGGTGTTATTTCTGAGCCACCAACACTCCAAACACTGTCCACCGCTGCAGCCCTCCAAGAGGATGATCAACAACCTCTGTTGAATATGAATGTATGTTTTCGTTGTTCTTCTTCTCTCAACAACGAACACCTTACACTTATTCATATTGTCATATACACTACAAACATCCATCTAACACGCTTACTTTTAAAAAGGTTCCTCAACATCAGACCTTGACACCACCATCCGCCCATCCTACCACCATTATTACAACGGAACCACCAGAAGGAACTATCCACCACCATGGCCCCAACTCAGCGACGGCTACCGCTCGCCAACCAGCGTCCCCTCCTCCACCTCCGCTTCAACAACATGAGGTTTGTTTCTCCCCCACCCATGTGTCCTGATGGATGACAATATAGTGGATGACGTATTAAGGAACAATGGATTAAAATTATGAATAACAATCATGGAAGAACTATTTGGATGGCTAATATGGATGCCAACATGGGAAACTCTTGCCCTAAAATGATGGCTCTCATGAAACATAATTCAATGTTGCGCTTCACATTTCCTATGCATTTCCCATTCGCTCCTGACAACTAACAATTTAACTTTATTCCGTATCGCAGGAACAACAACACAACGACCTTCCACCAACCAAGAAGCCAAAAAGGGTAAACCCACAAATAAACTCTTACATCGCTTGCCAAATCATCTAACATATTCGCGTAACAGGGACGCCCACATTCAAAGGTTATTTGCTACGTCAGCGACTCATCACCTCCCCCAAAACGAGAGAAACACTCCCCCACACAAGCAGAGATTCTACTCACTTCACAAATCCGTACCCGTCCACCTAGAGACCATCGGTTTCTACTTCCACCTCTAGACATAACACTGTTTGACTTGTTCCACAAAAAGATATCGGCTGCCCCTTCTTTGTAAGCCCCTTCACCTATGTCCATAATTCATCTAAAATTTCCGAAACTAAAGTAACTTCCCATTACAGGCTCCATATCACGCATCTGCACTTCGCTTTCGACAACCAGTTCCTCCTCGACCTGGCTAAAAGTCAAGAATGGGTCTCCACGCTCGTAAGCCTCGCAACTAACACATTACTACCGCATTTTTACTCACTTATAATAACTATGACCTTCTCTCGCAGCACATGGAAGTATTAATGGCATGGTTAGCAAGGCGACACACCAACTTACTCCGCTCACAACAAGTCAGCTTCATTTCGCCGATGTTCATCAACTACTTGCACGCCAAATACCGCTCTTTTAATAAAGCCATTAACAAGAACCTTGTCAGATTCGATGGAAATATCAGCAGCTTCGTCCACACACAAGGAAGTTCCTGGCTAGCAGATGTCCACACCATATACACACCCATGATATGGGATGACAAGCACTGGGTCGGGTTGGTCATAAACCTAAAACTCAGTCTTATAGAGGTCCTCGACCCTTACCCCATTCTCAATTACGACAGGAAGGTTGCGAAATACTTAAAACCACTACTTGAAATGATCCCATACATTGTTCGGAGCCTCTGCCCTACACAGGCTATCCAATCATTCGGGCTAAAACCATATGAATGGAGGCGCAGTCAGGAATACTACCAGAACATCCGATCAGGTGATTGCAGACCCGTCTCTCTGAAATTCATGGAGATGCATCTATACGGCGACCCAGCTCCACACATGTTTGGTTTGACAGATGACGACGTCGATAACTTCCACAAACAATACGCACTAGACCTCTACTCTGACCTTGTAATCCCTATCTATTTCCCCAACCTTAGTTAAAGCCACCATTTCCTTTTTTGTTATCCACGGCGACCCCCAACATTTTGTAATATCTTCTAATGGTTAGGTTGTGTGGAACTTGGTTAAAAATGTTGTACCTCTTAATATCAGACCAACTCTGTGTAACTTTGATATTGCACATCTCCTTCAATGCTTACGTTCTCAACCTCCTATTATATATATGTCCATCATTCCCGTACAAAATTACACATTCCACAAGCTAATATATCATCTACCACAAGCTCATAACCCGTACTCCATTTATAATCATACATAACTATACTCTTCCCAAACCAACAGACCATTTACAGCATCGACACATCCTTATAACAGTGGCTACTTAAATTTACACGGGAGTCCACCAAATTTCTTCTTTCCTACTTATACCATCCACATATTACACATTTCCCACTGACATAAACGCGTCCAAATACCATACCAACTGCAACGTAAACAAGTTATCTCCAACGCTATGTCCACGTCGCCTCATCCACATGATCACGTTCTATTACCACATCCACACAGCCATTATTCTGTGGATATGAAAAAACATTCTCCACCCAACACAAAATCCAAGTAATTGCATAACAGCTGCTCCTGCAACACTTACCATCACCACAATGCAACCTTTTACCCATTGGAACCAAGCTATCCCTCTAACAAAACCTTTTATTACCTCCTCGATACACACACATAATCTTACTACATTTACCAGCTTTGCAAAACATCCCACTTCTTGCAGCAATCACTTTCACCATGTCTCGTTTACAGACCTCAGCTTCTTTTGAACATTCTTCCGACGCCAGCAGCAACCACGAAGAAGGTCCCCTCTGTTACTGTTACCGATTAACAAAGCTCACCAAATCATGGACAAACAACAATCCTGGCCGCAGATTCTACCTCTGCAACAAACATGGTTTCTTTGCTTGGGCTGACGATCAAGCTCCTGATGGTTGGCAAAAACAAAGCTTGCTAGAGGCTAGAGACCAAATCAGACGCCAAACTAGAGAAATCCAAGATATAAAAGCAGCCAACAGCGCTTTGACGGCAAAGCTTCTACAACGACAAACTAGAAATCAACCATCTCTATCCGCAGCCACCCAGGACACACTTACTACAACGGAGAAGGATGCATCGCTCGAGAGAGAACGTCTTCTGAAGCTACTCGCTACCGTCTGCTTTTGTGGATTTGTACTCGTATCAGCTGTCCTTGCCGTTTCTTTGTTTTAATAGTTTACCATCGCGTCGACTAGTTTATGTATCTTCCTTTTGCGAAATCCATGTAAACCATCTATCAATCTATGCGGAATCTAGCATCTATTCTTTTCTCATACTTCACAGTTATTTGAATTACCAAAACTACATCTACAAATTAACCAACAACAACACAGCTAAAACATAGAGAAATGCCTATCAAATTACTTCCTTACATCGGTTGTTCGTCCACTTGTTTGAAGCATAGCCAATATCATATCATAACTCTCATCCATGCCATCAACACCATCTACAAATTCAATAAATTTCAATCCATCGTGACCCCCTTTCAAACCATCAGTCTAAGATCAACAATATGTACAACTGCTATGTACATCTCCTTCTTAATCACATCCATACCATACTACCATCTCAGACATTCATGATACTGATATTCAAAATAACCATAACACCATCGACCACACCCTTCCAACCACTACTTACTGTTCCTCCATTCATTCTGATCATGCCCATCCATAAATCCAACACGGTTAGCTAATCCTTAAATCGTATGCATACTAACATTCCATCACACCATCATATACTTACCATCCATCCAGCCAGTCAAAATATGACGACCTCTTAACTACCACCATCTCAGTATTCACATCCTTACGATCCTCTCCATCTACATAATCAATATCATCAAACCCATCCGGACTACTATTTGCTCATCCACACTACCATTACACAAATAAACGCTCCCAATAGGTACAGCTGTTTCTTTTCTCATCCATATCATCATTCCTACTATCTCATCCACAATATTCAATCAAGCCTACCAAGCCGACCATGTACATACAATGATCGTTCACGCAACAAACGACAATACAAATAGCGCAAATTCCTTTATCTTTTCATCCACCATCTAGCCCTCCATCCACTATCTTTGCATCCACCAACTAGCATGTGTACATCCACAATTACAATCCATTTAGTTCGTCCTCTACCGCCAACTATTTATTTTATCCTATCGTGCCATCATCCATCACTTTCTTCTACATTGTTCATCTCTTTAGTTAATCCATCACGTCCTGCCATCAAGTTCATTCAGCACTTTCATCCATAACGTCCACCGCGTGCGTCCATCAAGTTCATCCATAAGTTTCGTACACAACAATCATCCACCACGTCTGTCCACTTACTTCATCCATAACCTACATCTACCACATCATCCATCAAATACATCCACCACGCCAGACATACAATGCAATACGCAGCTACAATAGCAATCGAACATTATATTGCCGCTTCAACAAAACCAACACAAAGTCATCAATGCATCAACTCGTAAATCTTCCCTCAAAGTGAACCATTACACAATCAACTGAGTTTTCTTTAACAGACACCCGGCAATCACTACATATAAATGTCATCCTTAATTACCTTACATCATACATGGATGCGTAAACAAAAAAAAACAACGCTCAACACCCAAACTCCTCTGCAGCCAAGAGGTTACCACAATCACTCATCGTTTATATACATTCCAAACAATTCAAATTTAGATTGGATTTGTGCAGCTACTCCTATTGTGGCCGCTCTTAAAACACATACTACACTTATTAGGCTCCGTCTTCTTCTTACTTCCGCCCTGCAAGCAAAAGGTTGCGAAGACATTGTCAAATACGTCTACTATACCAATATAATAACACAACTTCACACTTACATATATCTCTCCTGTCGATGGTATACGCCCCTCCTTCGGTCTTCCAGGTGGCCGCTTAGTCCTAGGGGGCATCAGCGTAGTCTGCAAGATGTCAACAGGGATCTCCACGTCCTCGGCTTTACCTGGGGGGTTAATAACCATCGCATATGTCTCCGCCCAATTCACTGTCTTGAAAACGTCACTCGCCAGGGAACTTGCAGCCACACTGAATCCATCTGCTGCCATAATGGCATGTCCACACAGAATCTTAAGCAAATCAAACTTACGGCACGTACAACGCTTCTGATGCAACAATACATGATTCCTATCACCAAATTTACCAACAACCTCGCAACTCCAACTAGACACCATGTTGATTTTCCTACCTTTGCACTCTTTCTGGTGGTCCATCATTACCTTATCCACTTCCAACGAGAGTGTCCCCCTGTGTTTCAATGACTTCCTCCTACGGACATTGAACCACCTAGTCATCATCGTCTGAATAAACCGTAGAAGCTCTATGATAGGCGAGTTCCTACCCTCTTTCAAGGCATTGTTCAACTGCTCTGCAACATTGCTTGTCATCATATTATACCTATCACCTTGCGTATATGCTCTTGTCCAATGAGCCATCCCTATCTTCTCCAAGTACCTAGCACACTCACCGTTAGCTGCTTGAATTTTTTACCATATCTCCTTAAAATCGCCAATTCTATACGCAGCTGCTGCCATGCCAACTAGCTTCCCTAAACCTTTCCGATGAAACTTCGTAACAACATTCCTCTCTAAATGCACACTGCAACACCCATGCTGCGCTTTCGGATAAACTAGCCTCTTCGCTTTATATATTGAACCATGCCTGTCCGATATTATGGTCAAGCTACGGCTATCCGCCAAAATTGCCTCTACCTTCCCCAAAAACCACAACCAGGCGTCATCGTTTTCAGCGTCTACAACCGCGTATGCAAGTGGGAATACCTGAAAATTAGCATCTTGGCCACTAGCAGTTAACAAAACGCCCTTGAATTTTTCAAACAAGTGTGTCCCATCCAAAACTATCACATGTCTCAGCTTACGGAACCCAACGACGGAGGCACGAAAAGCCAAAAACACATACAGAAAACGCTCAACACCAAACTCATCCCAGCGTGTCTCCAGATCCGCTACTGTCCCAGGATTCGCCAGTTTCAACATATGGAGATAAGATGGCAAGCCTGTGTACGATGCATCATCACACCCCAGTAACTCCTCTATCGCTATCTCTTTTGCTCGGTAGCATTTCATGTAAGAAGCATCTACACGCAAATCGTCCAGAACCATCTTCTGGATCTCAGCTGACAGGGGGCCGTTTGTAGGATCACCAAAATTTGCTTTGAACACAGCTGCAATAACTCTAGAAGATGCTTTGCTTTTGAACTCGTTACGTGTCTCAAAGTTACATGTGTGCTCCAACTTTGCTTTCATTATCTCGTAATAAGCACAGTCCTTCATCTCATGGGCTAATATTCTCCAATCACATAACTTATCCGCGCAACTAAGCACAAAATAATGCCGCTTCGTTCTACTCTGCGTAAACCGGAAACGCTCCTTAATGGCGTAAATGGCTAGTGCTATACGACATTCCTGCTTGTTAGCATATATCTTGCCAACGTATACGGACCCATCCTGATCGGCTATATCTAAATCCGGTATCTCGCCATTCGAATACTTTGTATCGTCAAACATTGGAGGGATGTCAAAATCGTCATCTCCAAGCGACGGTATTACAGCACCTACACGGCCATCCACAACATCTCGACCACTAGAGGCCGTCCACGCTGACAAACTTACATCCACAACACTTGAATTACTCCTATTTCCCTTTCCAAACACAGCACGTGCTTCTCTCCCAGCGTTTGACTTACGAAGGGCTTCTTCCATCATGCCGATAACCATTGGTTCACCTGTAACATCATCTCCACACAAAATGTCAATCGCATCAGATCCACCGAGTGGATCGTCTATCAAAGGCTCCCAAAAATCCTTATCATACCCAGCTTCTGCGACCTGTCCATCGTCCGGAACAGACCTGCAGTTTTCCTCTGTGTCAGACAAATCAAACTCATCACCCAAACCAATACTACCTTTGCCTATGCTTCCGCTCCTATACTGCCCCTCAGCACTCTCCACGTGACTTACAACGTCCTCATCGTCCATAAACCAATGCTGAGATTTTGACCCAACAGACGACGCATAACCCGCAATCTCATCACTCCTCCCAGATCTACCTCCACCCTCAAATATACCCTTCCGCTTTCGCCCAACAACTGGAGTTGTAAAACCAACAAGGCCTCCATCTGCTACTAGGGGGACGTTATCGGTAGACTTAACAAAAGTCACAAACATGTTCATCGCGCTGTTAACCCGAAGGTGTTTGAAGAAAAACGCCACCGCCCCAGCGTTTGTCACCATCACAGGGGGCGTCGTTATGCCTGTTGCTAATTCCCTACTGTTAGGCGGCCAGTAACTCAGAGAAGCCCTTACGTCAGAACATTTGCCAACAAAGAACTCCCTACAAATTCTATCCTCCAACTCCCTTACCTCTATCCCATCTCCCATGGACACAACCCTTGACATTTTTTCTTTATCGATCAGAAATTCCCACTTACCATCGCCACCGCACTGCCACTCCCCGCAAACAATGCTCTTCCATAACTAACCAAAAGCAATGTGCTCCTAAACGGCTGCAAAAAACCTACGACAATCTTAGTTTTTTGATTTCTTGCTACAGCTGTCCCCAACAAGCAAATATCACCATGCTCCACACGCAAACCCCACCCTTCATTAATTAGCCAGCACTTGCACGGCTTAGCTTACTCTAACATTAATTACACACCCAACTACTCAATCTTTATCGTTGATTGTGCAAACCCTCACCATCCATCCATGTCCTAATCCATCCACTAACCCCCACCCACAGAACACGCCAACCATCAAGTGTATGATTCAAATCCAGCCATCAAACTTAGCATCAACCACACCACATCGTACAAATATTGCGCATTGTATTGCAGAGGCATTGTTATTTCAAGCCGTCCATAAAGAATATTTCCCATGTAAGATACAACACAACAATGTCCACAAACCACAATATTATGTACGATAGACTACCAATCCCTATCGCCGATACCCTGACACAAATTATAACACAGACCAAACACTTGTCCAACGCGAACTCCACAACGTCCACAGTTCATTATCCATCTGGATATATCTTACAAACTAACATAGGCTTTCTCATTACCCAGTCAGCTTCACATTATCATCCACATCACCAAAGGATCAACAGCTGAAAAACAAATTCGCCAATTGATTCCTCGTGCATACAACGACAAACCAACCACCTTGCCTCACATTCCAGGGACATGATTCAAAAATCCTCAATAAGAAAGCTACTATCGCCTTCAATGATGGTAGATCGGTGACTACCCTCACTGTTTTTTGGTCAACTCAGCGAACTAGGCTCCCAAAGTCACGACGCGTGGATTAAGAGTGCCGATATATCAATTTTCATCCTTCAGTTAAACTAAAGTTTTCTGTGAAACCGCGGTTGTTTTAGAAAGGGCAAAATAGTCAAAGCAATGCAAGAAAGTACAACAAAGTGCTTCCAATCCCAACAGTGCCTGATTTTGAAAGATAATATTTCGAAGTGTCTCTGTGAGTAAATGTCTCTTATATATATCCGGTTGGTCTCTCTTTTTTTTTTTTTCTTTTTTTTGAACACGAAGTCTCTCTTTTTTCTTTAGAGAAATTGGTTCCAATAACCATAAAAAGAGTTGAAATTCAGAAAATAACCATAACAATTGAGGTGCTATAATATTCATTGTATTTTTTACAATATATACGAAAATATCATTTTTTTTCTTTTTTCCCCTCTTCTGTAATCTTCTTTCCTTCTCCTCCCTTTCCTTTCTTGATTCTGATTTCCCCTTCCCCTCCCCTCTCTTCTCCTCTCCCTTCCTCCCCTTTCCCTCCCCTCCCTTCTCTTCCTTTCACTTCTCCTTAGAGAATAACAGGTTATACTATATAAATTATATGAAACAATCATTTTTGTAAATAGTATAGTATGACAATAAAAACATTCAAGTACTATACTATATTAGTTTTGTCAGAAACAAAACATATATTATAGCATAGTTCAGAAGAAAATATTGGTAACATGTGTTTCTATGATATTTTCACGTAATGAAGAAGGAGATTTTAGTAATTTTCATATGGGCCATAGTTAGTTTGCATATTATTTGAATTTCATGGCTATATTCTTTGATTGTTTTTCAAATATGGTTATAGAACGAAAAAATCTTTTTCTTTATCATATATAAAAAAAAATAGAGAAACACAATGACACAAAAATGTCTTTTGGGGTTTTTAATGAAGCCGAACCAAATTGAAAAATTGGGAATAACTTTCAAGAAGTGCCAGCTTTGTTCAGAATCTTAAAGACTTTTGGGTATTCTTTTAATTTCTTTTTCCAATATTTTTATATACCTTACTACTATTTTTATCGCTTTATAATTAGTTTTTTTATCATACTATTATTTATAAAATACATATATTTTTAAACATAAATTATGTATTTTATATGAAATGCCATTGGTATCTTTATTTTCTCTATAATTTATTAATGGTAACTAATTATTTGTTAATACAAATAATAAATTTTTATTTTCTTTATTTAATTCTTATATACCTATAACCAAACACATTAATTTCAAATATTATATAAATTAGTTTAACTCTAATCACCAAAAACATTTAAATAATTTAAATATTTATATAAATAATTATTTTTAAAATTCTACTTAATTTTAGAATTAATTACATCCAAGTTTATATAAAACAAAATGACAATTATAATTAATATATAGGTATGAGAGTAAATTATAAACATTTATACAATATAAAATATGTTGCAAAAACAAAAATATAACAAAAAATATTGTTAAACACATGAATATAACAAAAAAGTATAATTAATCGATTGCACTAAATATTATAACTAAATATAATTTGAATTAGTGCAATCGATTAATTAAATATTTAATAAAACTAAATATAATTTGAATTAGATTTTATGGTTATTGTCACAGTGTTTTAAAATTTGAATTAATTTAATCAAAATTTGAATTGATATTAGATTGCACTAAATATATAACTAGGTGATCTTTCACACTTTGCATAGATAAATTAGTTTTAAATATTATTATTATAATAATTTTAATATAAAATTGATTGAAGACTTTATAAAAAAAAAATTCAAGATATGAGATTGATTGAAAAACAATTACATAATATCAATGTAAATGTGCTAACCATTTAACACCACCTCCCAAATTATACTCCAATTATCTCTTGTAAATCACATCCCACTTATAAACAACAGAATATGAGTTGGAATTTATCAAAAAGCAGCAGACTTCATAATCCAATATAAATTATATAAAAAATTTTTTTACTTGCAAAAAATTATTGTTGTAGCAAATATGTTTCTTTAAAACTCGCTATTAATATATGCAATACATTCTAAATATATCCAGTTGATAAACAACCAAGATTGATCATTTACTACTTTTAGAAAAAATTGCTTGATTCCAATTTATCATACTAATTATAGTTTTTTAAAAATTCATAATTGATCATATCAAAAATAAAAAACCACGAAATTTATTTGAGCCAAGTAAAATTATGGCTTATAAAAAATATATAAAAAGAAGCTAATTTAATGGAATCACCGTTAAAAAGGTTATAGTAATAATCAATAAAATATTATTTGATTATAATTGCATTTTGTATGTATATTAAACACAAAAATGCAATGGATTGATGGTTTATATTAAGGAACCAACCATCTTGTACGATCAGTAGGCCACCACCACTTAGTATAAAGATTACATGTTACAATAGTTTTATTAGAAAATTATCAAAAAATGTTCTTTACGTTAACTGAGTTCAATTATAAAAGAATTCTTAATTTTAATCATCCTGATTCATAGTGAATGTTTAAGGTTCATATATGCCTAAGCAATCAACCTTGTTTTGAGTAGAGGGGATTGCTAGTACGTATTAGTCGAGACGTAAGATTTGATCACGTTGATTAATCTGAACTTGTAGAACTCGTTTGTCTTGTCTTCGTTTACTACGTAGTTACGATTTGTGTGTGTGCTATTCAATTCGTAGAATCTTAAATCTGTAAATAAAGTCTCATCTCATCTATCTAAGAACTTTACACAACGTGCGTGATGTATGAGATCTTAACAGCTATTTTTGTATATACATGAAAGTATGAAACATGTGTACATTAATCAAAAAGACATAAAGATAACAAATAAAATAGATTGAAAAAAGGTAATTTCCATAATGATAAATATAACAGGATAACTTTTTTTTTTGTGCAAAAATATAACAGGATAACTACAAAATTTTACTTTTAACATTTTTCGTTTGAATTTTCCGATTTTTTCTAAAAGTCTTCCTAAATATTTTTTCTATTAATATTTCGTAATTTTTCAGAAATATATTCTAAATACTAGAATTTAACATTATTTCATATGATTTAGGAAAGCTTTCCTAAATTTTTAAAAATTTCCTGAATTGGGAAAAAGCTTTCTGAATTGTGGAAGAGTTTCCTGAATTATGGAAAAGCTTCCTCGAAGGACTTCATGAATTTGAGTTGTATAAATTAACAAAAAAAAATATAGAATTTATAAAAACTTTTCTAAATATATATAATGGCTTCCTTAATTTACATGTTTTAGGAAAACCTTTCTAAATTTAGGAAATATCTTTCTTAATTTATACTTATCTCTTTCTTCATCTTTGTGACACTCAAACCCTAATTTCCGTCGATTTTTTTTTCACCAAATAATGTTAGATATGATAATTGAAGTCCTCCAAAACGCTTCTAATATCTTTTCCTCCACCTCCTCAACTAGCAACACTGCCGCAAACCTTCTTCCGACGACGCTGCCGCTCCTGACGTCTCTTTCTCCGCCTCCTCCAAGACACTTCCGATATCTCTTCTTCTGCTTCCTCATTTAGTCATGAACTTCTTTGGAAGGACAATTTGGTCAATTCTGATGAAAAATATTATAAAAGATAATTTTTTAGGATGTTAGTGTATATTAAGAACAAAAACATAAATTAGATGTATTTGAAGGCATCTATACTACTCCATCTGTTTCATAATAAGTGTCATTTGGAGAAACTGTATCTGCAATATATCTAGATGTATTAAACTCAAAACAAATCCATATACATCTAATTACAATGCAGATACATTTTCTCCAAATGATATTTATTATAAAACAGAGGGAGTATTAAAAGAGAATCATAATTTTAAATTAACCTTTAGTTAATGTGTTATTTACAATATATGCCATTAAATTTTTATAGATTCATTAAGGATAATTTAGTCTTATCATTAAATTGTTAACAAATACATTAAATTAAATTAAATTATATTAGTTTGTTAACAAATAATACCAATAAATCATATCTGACACTAATTAAATTCAAATTAATTTACTTTTAAAATTATTTTAAAATCTTTCATAATATCTTAACATAACTACCACATATATAATATGAATAACTAAAATAATTACATATATAATATAATCAATTAAATATATATTATATTATAATCAATTTTTTCTCTATAGTATTAAAAGAAAAGCACTACATTAAATAAAATTTAAATTTTTATGGTGTTTACAAAAATTTGACAATTTATAGTCAATGATGAATATATAATTATTATTTTTTGGTTACACATATACGTATATGTAAATAATTTAAATATGAAAAAAATTATGTCATCATAATTTAGTTTTTCTGGTTTGTTAATGATTTTTTTTGTGGGAAATTATGGGTTTGCAGATTTGACAAACACAATTTTGTAAATTTTACGGGTTTTATAAATTTTAGCGGGTTTT